CGTCCAAAATGCCCCAGATGCGCTTCCTCTTTGGCATGTTGCCTGTGTTATTTTATCTTTGTGAATTCTATTTTTCCTATAAAGTCTCATGCTTCTTAACCTGAAAATCCGCCCCCCCCGCCAGGTGTGTGCATACACAGCTGAACCACGGCCCGGCACTGTGGGCGCGACCAGCTGACCGGGGGCGGCGCAGCGGCCCCGGCTGCCCAGGCCCCGGAGCGGGTGGGTGTGTGCCGTGTGCTTTGGGATGATGGGTCTGCCTGGGGGCTGAGGTGGAGGGGAGGGCGTCCGAGCAGGGTCACAGAGGGAGAGTGCGGGCTCCCCTGAGAGGAGCGAGGGCCTTTCCGACGGAAGCACGGCACGGGCAAAGGCCCTGCAGTCACGGTGTCATGGCTTGTTCAGGAGCCCCTTGCCTGAGATGGAGGAAGCAGGGGTAGGCGAGGTGACCTTCCCGGCCAAGCCCTTGGCTGTTGGTGGCCAGGAGCCACGGAAGGATTTTGAGCCTCGTGTGGCTATTAGCTCTATTTGTGGGAAAATTCCTGGCTGAGGAGGGACGCGTGCTTGGGAAGGAGAGCGCTCCTGCCACGCACCAGGAGGGAGATGACGAGGCCCGAGCTGCGCAGTAGCTGTGCCCACAGAGGACTGGAGACCTGCCAAGGGGCACCTGGCAGTGGAGCTGTCAGGGTGAGTGACAGATAAGCTGTTGGGGGTGACAGGTAGAGAGGGGCCTGCGATTTATAGCTTGGGTGATTAGGCAAACGGTGCTGAAATGAGAGACAGCGTGCGCAGAGGACAAACAGGTTTGGGGTGGAGGCCTCTGAGAGGTCAAGGCCTCTGAGAGGCCGCAAACTGGTGAAAACCACCGACGCTGGGGGCCCAGACTGCCTGGGGTCAGGGGGTCTCGGTGTCCTTATTTGTAAAATGGCACAGAACCACATCACAGGGTCGTTCAGGGGACAAGAGGCGATCTACGTCCGGGCCCAGAACGGCGCCCCGCACACGGTGAAGGGGCCTGGGGAAGCCACAGGTCTGTCAGGGGCAAGAGTTACGCCCACTCCCCCTCCTGTTTTAAAAGTGCTCCAATTGGATAGTCATGACCAACATCTGGAAGGCAGATAAACGGGTTCTCATTAAATAGCCATCGTTGCCCTGCAGTGTCTGATATGCGAAGTAGGACAGTCTTTGCCCTGTCTTCCCTTTTTATCATCACTGCTGTCATCAAAGGCAGCTCCTGAGCACCTGCTGGATGCAGGGCTCCATGCGGAGCCCCGAGGAGTGGTCCCGGCCTCAAAGACTCGCTGGGTGTCAGGGAAACAGGGCACAGGCACAGGCCATCTGTGCGAACCCCGAAACCAGGCCGGGCGGGGACGCTGGGGAGCTGGGAGGCTGCAGGCAGCAGCCGGGCGCCCCACCCTCTGTGCGCGGCGGGGTAGGGGGTGGGTGGGCGTGAAGGGGCCACGCGGTGCAGGGCAGGCTCCAGCCACCCCACCCACTCTGGTCCCCAAGCCTTGGTGAGGAGGGGCGGGCAGGGGAGCCCCCCGCCCCCGTAGAGTGTTGAGGGGCACCGCTGTGTTTCTGATGTAGGTCCCTGGGGAAAGTCTGTGGAGAGGCCGCGGGGCGTGGAGGGCGGACACTGCAGACGGCGCTGTGGGGAGCAGAGGGGAGGGCCCCGGGCGGGCAGGGGGCTGCCCAGCGGACAAGGGCTCCCAAGCCCAGGAGGCCTTCCCAGGGAGACTTTTACTGCGGTGTGAATTTTGAAGGAGAGAAAGCTAAAATCAAGTAAACGTGTTCTGCAACATTTTCTTCACCTCTAATATGGTTAAGAACACATTTCTCCTCCTGTTCACCATGGGAGTTTTGAAATTCAGAGACCACCTTTTTCATTGTAGGCAATGTTTAACTTGACTGCTTAATCTGAATTAATGTGGACAACAATGGTGGCAAAAGGTAATTACATTTAAGTGATAGTTTAACTTAAAATTCCTTTGGGAATACCTGTGAGTCACCCCGTTGGAGGCAAATATCCACAAAACATGCACTAATTGTTCCAGAAGGAAGTAATTGTCGCAGAAGGGCAAAAGGCTAAGGAGCTGGAGCACCAGGCTCCTCATTAATAAAGTCAATAAAAGAACTCTTTTGTGAGCTCCTCTCGAGGCCTGGCGTGTTATCAGCTACATCTGGCACGAGGACCGCTTTACGCTCGAACACTTCACACGGGCGCACAACGCAGGGGCACAAACCAAGAACTTCGTGAAGCCGGTTGCTGAGAGGCTTCACATGGCGTGGACTTATCCAGCTTTCAAGGCTGCGGGGGCATTTTAGATCCAAAAACCCGCCTGGCTACCTACTCAGGATAAAAATACACACTTCTCTCTCTCTCTGCGATATGGAACAACTCACCCAGCCTTCCCAGGCGCCACACTTGGCAAATTCTACCCAAGGCTTTCCTTAGGGTTCTGAAAGCACGCTCCTTCCCTTCTTCCAGCAATGAGTGTTCCCGTGTACATGTGCATGGGGTTGAGCTGATGCCAATTTTCCCCCCCGGGTGGCTTTGTGCCAATGGAAGAAATAAAACCCCCGAGAGAACAGAGAACTGCAGGCACACCCCCTGCCCTGGGCTCCCCTCCCTTCTTTGGGCGTTGAAAGGCTCCAGTTCTGCGTGGCGATGACAGGCCTGCCACCCGCCTCACCCCCCCGAATCAGGAAGATAAGGCGCCGGGGCCTCAGCGCCCTGCTAACTCACCATCATTACATCCTGTAATCGCGCTGACTGACCTGCTGGGAAAGGGGCCAGGGCTGGCAGGTAGAAAGAAGGCACTCCCTTTGCTTTGAGTCTAACATGGAATCCCAAACTGCCTACAGAAACCTGCATTTTTTTTTTTTTTGAAGGATTAAGAGAGAGAGAGGAAAAACCCCAACAAAACTATGTTCAAAATGTATGCGATCCCTGTAGATTAATGAAGTATTTGGGCCAAAGTTTTGTATTCTCATGGGAAAAGACTCCTGTTGTACACTCACTAATTTTTTTACTTAAAATTTTTTTAACACTGTGTTTAGTCACCTACTGTGACTAAACCTTGAATTGCTACAGTTGTTGAGATTGATCTGGCTATATTAAATGAGAAAACCCATACGATACTCTGTGTAAGAGAGGTGCTTAACAAATGTTTCACGCCTGTGTTTTGCATAGTGGTGGGATGACCCCAATTTGACACTAGGGTCACTAAACCTCACAATTTAACTCAATTTCTGCGCCGACATGCTGCATTTGCACAGCTCTGTGCTTAGACTAATCCCTGAGAGGCAATTTAAGGGCTCTTTTCTTCCCCCAAAAGCATCTGCTGCATTCCATTTTCAGCCCCTAGAAGTCTCTGATTTTGCACCATTACAATAGCTACTTGATCTGAGACCACGTCATCACTCACTTGGTTTTATTTCCCTTTAGGGTGGTCGCCTAAATGGTACAATTATGTTTCCGTGCGGTGGTGTGGAATTTAGTATCAAAAAATAAAATACGGTTTGTTCATAAAAGAGACTCCACCCAAATCAGCAAATACCCCAAGTAGCTCTACCGGCACAATAACGCATGACCTCCACCGAAAGGAGCAGAAACACTGGGGCCCTGCCCCCTACCCCTACCCCACCCCCGCCCCTGCCCCCGGATGCCTCCCTGGGATCGGCTGAGCCCATCTGCAACGCCCGCAGCCCCCTCCGGCCTTCTGCCGTGATTGGGCACCACACTGGCGCTGCAGACGCTTAAACAGCCCTTCTGGCCTGGAGCTGACAGTCCTGGTGGCGTCAACCCGGCTGCCGAGTCCTCGCTAGTCCCCAACTTGGGCCGCGCCTGGGGCGGGACCGCCTCCCGGCACCGCAGTCTGGCGCCTGCTGTCGCCACCGTCGCCCCCGGCGCCCGCGCAGCCCTGCCGCCGAGGCGGCCCCTCCACCTCTTCGGTCTGTTCACCAGACCAGCGGTCCTTTTAGGTCATAGGTTGGGTCGCTGCGTTGTTTTAAATCGCCAATGGCTTCCCATGACATCTCGGGACGGAAGCCGCAGCGCTGGCCTCGTCGCGGTGCACACGCTCCGCGGGGTCCCGGGGTGGCCCACGGCGCTGCAGGCCAGTGGGGCACAGCTCCGTGTCCCCTCCACGGGCGCCCTTCACACGACATGGCCCGCCCCGCCGCTCAGCCCTTACCTGGGCGCTGCTGCGCGGCACCTCGTTCCCCCAGGTACCATATACGCATGTGCTTCCCACCTGCCTGCCCCCGAGCCGAGGATTCTTAAAGGCCGGGGGTGGGGGGTGGGGGGGCTCGTTTGCGCTGCCTCTCGGCACAAGACCAGCCGGAACGCAGAAGCCACTCCGCGGGTCTCCGTGAACGAACAAACGGAATACAAATGCCTGTTTCTCTAACGTCCTCTCGGGCACGCTAAGTCCCACAATTTTTACCAGTCCCCGCTCGGGGAGGCCCTCTCTTTGTGCATGTCTTCGGTTTGAGTGAGGCTGAGTATCTTGCATGTGTTTTGGCTTGGGCTTTGCATGTCCGTTTTCAAAAAGCTAGCTTTTCACATCTCTTACTCAGCTTGTCATTCTCCTATTGTTTTAAAAGGGCTTTTGATCCATTAAGGGAATGATTCCTTCGTCCATCAAATGATACAAACGTCTTTTTCCAGTTCCCCATGTACCTTTGACTTCGTGGTCCCATTATCACTCTTCCCCTTAGCGTCTCTGGCTCTCAGGAATGTCTACAAAGTCCTCCTCTGCTGCAAGATCATCAAAGCATTCATACGCGCCTTCTTGTAATACTTGTAAAAGATTCCAGTGTTTTGATCTTTGACCCAGCTGGGATTTACTTTGGGGCACAAAGAGTAAGGAAGTGTCTAGTTTAAAAAGCAAATTTAGCTCTAAATCACAATGAATACAAATTTCTGGCTACCACTTATATAACACTATTGTTTTAATTTTCTCAAAGAATATTTGTAATTTAAAAAATACATTCCAAGCTCACTTGTTTTCCAATATACACTTTATAAGCACAATTGATACATATATATATGTATGCATGTCTATGCATGGACACATATGCAAAAAATTCTATTTTCCATAATTCTCTAGAATGTTATGTTACAGTTTGCCATTACTGTCACTAGTGAAATATTTTCCCAAGAAAGTTTGTCATTTTTTCACTTTCCTGGATCTTGAAGATTTCTTTTTTGCTTGACTGTACTTTGTTTTAAAAAGTCTCTTTTCAATTAAGCTCACTTCTTCATGGAGGAAATAGGCATTTATTCTTAGCAGGAAGGAGAAGAGATTTAGTATAAATTGGTAACTCAGGGAAAAATTTGATTCTTCATAGGTCGTCACATGCTTACAGTAGCTAGAAGGGAAGAAAAAGGAAGATGTTACCTTTAAATGTCCATCTAGAGAAGTGTGCATCTACCCCTTGCCATCTCCCAAATAACTGAACAAGTACACATATTTAGGCTTACATCGTAATCTGAACCGAAAAGAAAGTTAAAACAATTTGGTAAAACTCCTTAATTTTACAAAGGGAAATCCTTCAGCTTGGCCTGTGGGCACCGCACAGAGACACGCAGGAGGTGCCAGGCGCTGGGTCACGCAGTCCTGGCCCGCAGGTCCTGCCCCTCAGGAGGGCCCCCACTTTGCACTGTGATCCGGGCAAACAGAAGCTCACAGGCAGAGATTCGGGGCCTATTTTTAAGACAAACAAAAGAAAACAAACACTCCCCAATCTGCCACGCAAAATAAGACCCCAGACTTGATCACGTAGCTTTCTATCCTGTACGTATTATGGGGAGAGTTTTCAAAGAAATTTCACTTATTTAAAAGTCGTAGAACCTGAATCTAATCAAATCCCTAACTACCATCAAATCTCTAACCCTAGTTGTCATCTGTGATAACCTATCTACACTGAGGTGGAGACCTCCACGGGACTGCGGTATCAACTAACTGGCCAGGCAAACTGTGCGGACGCGGGACCTGGACTGCTCCACAAGGTCACTGCAAGGGGGTGAAGGAGATACAGGAGGAGTTTATGGACTTAGCCGCTTACAATGTGTGAATCTCATTTGGATTCTGAATTATTTTAAAGAGTACATGACAGGAAAATTTAAAAGGTAACGACTCCATGTTAGATAATATTAACACATTATTATTAGGATTTTTAAAAAATGTCTAATGGTATGGCTTTGCTTTAAACACATTTTGCTTTGGGAATTTACTTCCAAACAGTCTCGGGGGCAGGGTGGGGGCCGGGTGGGGCTCTGGCGCAGCCTCGCCTGGCTGACAGCTGTTGAGGCTGAGTGACAGGCACATTCCACCTCTCTTTTGAAAGAAGACCTGGCATTTTCCATAATAAAATGTTTAAAAAACAAGTAGGCAACCGAGAGAGAATATCGACTTTTAGATATTATGCTTTCTCTGCCGTACACGGTCCTCCATGCCCGAGTTTTCCTATTTGCCAGGAACACTCTGCAGCCGGTTGGCTGCGCCGCGGGCCAGCCACTCTCGGTGCCCCCGTCTGTGACACGGGCCGGAACAGCGGCGCCCACCCCCCCGGACTGAGTGTGGTGCACATTAAGGCCTTAACTCAATGGACGCAGGGCGCATAGCAAGGCCTCGAAAATGTTCATTTCCCCTATACTCCTTTAAAACTGATTTTTTGTTTTCACTTTAAATCTTAAAGCTATTTATATAACATGCAATAAGGCCCGTACCCTATGTTCCATAGTAGGAAATTCAAAAGCCTTAGCGTTTTGTTCACGGGGCTGATCGAATAGAAATAAAACACAAGCCACTCTATATACAGGCATGCTCACAAAGCGGTGGTCTCTCGCTTTCCTTCTTTTCTAACTTCTAATTCCAGCCGTGGTAAGAGCGATTCTTTCAGGTAAAATGCCGCCACAGCCAGGGCAGAAGCACCGTTCCGTTCCCTTCCCCAGAGACCACAGGGAAAGCGGTTCCTCCCGCTGCTGAGATACGCAGAGGCTTACAGATTACCAGCCGCGGCAGGCCTTGAGCTTCTGAGCTGAGTCAGTCACAGCCCCGCGTAACGGTTCTGCGTAGCGGTTCTGCATAACGGTCCCGTGTAACGGTTCCGCGTAACGGTTCCGTCCTTACGGTCCGCTCAGGAAGCCACCCCAGGGCGACTGGGCGGGTTTTGCGGCCTAGCGCTCTGCTGGGCGGGGACCGCGGCCGAGCGCCAGTCTTTGCTCCGCCAGGCCCCGCAGTGAGTGCGGGCGGGGGCGGTGAGGGCGGGCGCATCTCCGCCAGCAGCACAGGTGGCAGGACGCAGGCAGGCCTGGGTTTGCGGGGGCGGGCGCTGCGGGGGCGCAGCCGTCCTCCCACGGAGGCGCAACGCGCACGAAAGCAGTGTCCACTCCGCGCGCAAGTACAGAGCCCTGGAGACGCGGCCGGTGTTTCGGTGGTCTCTGGTGCGTTGCGACTTGGCATGTGACCCATCCGAGTCTTGTTTTTTCACTGCAGTTTAAAGGTAATGAGAAGGGCCACCTGAAAGGCACCCGGGTGTGAGCTCCTGCTGGGTCACAGGCCCGACCGTGGGCCCAGGCAGCAGCACCGTCTCTCTCGCGCGCAGGCGATGCTCCTCGCTGGCCGGGTTGCCGTGCGGGCGCCCAGCCTGGGGAAGCTGCTCAGACCCCGCAAGGAAGGAGCGAGCCTTGCGCCGCGCGCGCTGTGGGCTGGGATCGGCCTTCGGTTGCCGCTGCTGTCAAGTCAGGCCCACTCCTCAGTCACGCTGGACTCGGCCCCGCAATTCCGAACAGTTAATTTTGATACAGTAACTTCATTTTATCATCTTACTATCCTGAGACACAACTCGGGTAGTAAAATGCTATTATAATAGAAGGTTAGTTTTGATTAAAATGATCATGACCATGGTTACCATTTATTATTTACTATGTGACAGATACCAAAGTCTCCCTTTACCCTCATAAGAAACCTAGAGGTGGCTTCTATTTTCCATTCATTCACTCACCAGATACTTGGTGAGCAGCTAGGCCCTGTTCTAGCCTCTGGGTTTAATTTTTTCATTAAATAAGACAGTGTCCCAGCTAAAGGACCTTACATTCCAGTGTGAGGAGGCAAATATGCAAAATAAATATACTTTAGTATATTCGATAGTGACGACAGCTATTAAGGAAAAACAGGCAAGGCAGGTAGAGAGCGATGGGGCTTAGGGAGGTGTGAAAGAAAAGGCCTCCCGGAGGAAGTGAAATGTGGACAAAAACCCGACAGAAGTGAGCCCATGTGGATATGCCGGGGAGAGCACCCAGCTGAGGGCACCACCCGCGCAAAGGCCCGCATGGGGCGTGCAGGCCACAGATCCGAGCAAGCGCTAGGCGCCCGCCGTGGATGGGGACAGTGAGCACGGGGTGGGGGGGGGGGGTCGGCTGTCAAGGAGGCCAGAGGACAGCGGGGCTGGCCGGCTCTCCCCCGACTGGGATGGAGCCCCGGAGGTGGCGCCAAGAGCAGGAAGGGCAGTGCTCCACCCCATTTCCACAGCCAGGCGACAGGGTGGCGGGGACGGTGGGTAACTTGCGCACACCCAGCGAGCGGCAGAGCCGGGGCACGAGAGCCGGAAACATTAGTGCCTCCTCCCAGCTCCCGGGGGAAACTGCCTTATAGACAGGTCCTGTGTCAACGTGGGAACCAGATCAGTAAAAAGAGACTTTTCATAATGACAAGTCTTTATAATCTAAAACTTTTTTCCAGCTGAGATATTATTGACATAAAAGTTTTATGTGCACAACGTGGTGAATCAGTGCATTTACAGATTATCACAATAAGGTACCTCTCACGCCTAAAACTCTTAAATGAGACTCCACGTATAATTGCGATTTTCTTGATTAAAAGCTCACATTCTTCTATTTCCAACACCCTATCTGGCTCTCATCGTAGCCAACTCCTTTAAATTGTACATGACTTTTTAAAATTAGAAACGACTGCTCCTCCAGGGCAAACCAGAGCTCCGGCCACATTTCCCGCCCTCCGATTCTGCCGGTAGCACGCACCTTTTGCAGAACTTCTGCGTGCTGAGCCAGTACAGCGGGTTCCTGGTCGTCAGCGATGGTCCTCGCTTCTCCAGGGCCCCCTGGAGGCTGTGTCCGTGGAAGCAGGTTCCAGCCGGGTCTCCCTCAGTCCAGCTGAACTGAAAACTCGAAGCACTTCTTTTTGCAACAGTTGGTGTCGAATCAGCCAATGTGCTAAACTGTTTCTGTAGATTGACCACCATTTCTGGAAGTAGAGGAAAAAACAAAAGGGAGGAAATAAAAACTAATGTTAAATCCTGATAAAGACTGTGGTTTACTTGACAGCAATGTATCACTCAATGTTGGTCTGTTAGTATGACAAATGCATTGTGGGAGTGTAAGACAATGACATTAGGGGAGACCAAAACTAGATGAGAGGAAGTGTAAGGGAACTACTTAAAAAAAGCTAAAATAGTCAATTTTATGTTATGTATATTTTACCACGTTTAAAAAAATAAATAAGACAACCTAAAGGCAATTCTCCAAACAGAGAGTTCTGAGAGTCATGGGAATATAGGGTATTAGATTTTGGTGGGAACTCTAGCTCTGTTTGGTGTAAAGGCATGTCCCTGAAATAGATTCCTATGGAGATTTCTTTTTTTCCCTTTTCTTAATCCTCACTGCAAGGTATATTTATTGATTTTAGAGAAAGGGAGAGAGAGGAAAAGAAACACTGATGAGAAAGAGGAAAAGAAACACTGATGAGAGAGAGAAATATCAATCAGTTGCCTCCCATATGCACCTCAACTGGAGATCAAACCTGCAACCTGCCCTGGCTGGTGTGGCTCAGTGGACTGAGCGCTGGCCTGCGAACCGAAGGGTTGTGGGTTCGATTCCCAGTCAGGTCACAGGCCTGGGTTGCAGACCAGGTCCCCAGTAGGGGGCACACAAGAGGCAACCACACGTTGATGCTTCTCTCCCTCTCTTTCTGCTCCCCTCCCCGTGTCTAAAAATAAATAAATAAAATCTTAAAAAACAAACAAACCCCCCCGCTGCAACCTAGATATGTGCCCTGACTAGGGACCGAACCCATAACCTTTAGGTGTACAGATGACATTCCAATCAACTGAGCCACCCAGCCAGGGCCCTATGGAGATTTCTTGCAGAGGATGATGTGTCTTTGGATGTGCATTGGAACACTTGGTAAAAGAGAAAACATCACTCATGCATTCACTTTTCAAGTCAAGATACTTAGTTCTTTTAACAACAGTGTTGTTAAGAAGAGAAAACGCAACTCACCCCTTCTCTTATACACCACTGACTTGTCGATGGAGGAGTGGTAGAGCGGCTTTTCGCTTTTCCACACGTACCTATACAAGGCAAAACACGGTTGGAGCAGGATGAGAAGAAATGGACCTAAACCCATTTCAGAGAAGTTTCTCTGAAACAATGTCTGAAATTTCTGAAATGCAGTGTCAAAGCTCTGGCTTATAATAACCTAGTGACACGTGCCTAGGGCGCGCATAACCTGGTGGTGAGCCGGCAGCGCCGAAGCAGAGAACAAGCCACCTGCACAGTGTGTCCCCCCGAGAGCCTGCCGGATGCCAGAGCCTGAAGCAGCTACTGATGACGTGCAGCACGCAGCCACGGTCCCCTCCCCGGGCCATTCTGCTGCCGCCTGTCCTCCTGGGGGACGCTGCCTACGGACGACGGCTTCTCCTTGCCTTCGCCCAGCTTCCCTTTGGCTGAAGATTAAGTTAGTGGCTCTTCTGATTCTGATAAGCAGACAGCATGAACAGCGAGTGCCAGTCTCCTGTCCCTTCCTGCCTGGAAACCCACCCTGCCCCCGGTGGGCACGAGGAGGAAAGGTCTGGGCTCCAGCACGACCCAGGCCCGGCAGGAGAGGCTTTGCCTGGCCTCTCCTGGGGGAGTCCAGCCAGGGCGGCTCCACTGCAACACGGAGATCCTGCAGCGCTCTGCAAAGTCTACACAGCGCCCCCTCCAGCGCAAACGGCAAGAGTCATGTGGGGTTCTTCCGGACTGGGGGCGACCGGCCTAGACTCAGGCCAAAGGGAAGTGACAGGCTCTATTTCTAGTTCTCAACTCGAACAAGAAACTTGCTACACTGCCAAGCAGACTGCTGCTCTGGAACCAAGGTAACACTTACTGTTCATTTTTAGTCTCATTTTAATTAACTGAATTTCCTAAAGTGGAGAGTTTTCCTAATTTACAGTGAAAAGTGAGAACTGCCCCTTCTTGACCCAAGGGCTTATTCTGAGGGCGGAGCGGCAGGCGGGGCTGTGCCCGAGGGCCTGGCTGTCCTGCTTCCCCAGGCCTGAGGCCTGGCCCTCGCCCTCCACAGGCTCGGAGGTTCCCAGAGGCAGAGGCGCCTTGCCCTTCTCCACGTCGCCTCCGCCTCCACGTCCCCAGCATTGGCAGGAAACGGCAAGGACTCCTCTACATAACTGTTGAAGGACTAACGGGTGGATATCGGAACAAACAAATGAGCGCAAGATCTCTAAATCTGTCTTCCTGTACGGGGTTGTTGTGAGGAAAAACGGAGATAATGTTTGTACTGGTTCTTTAAATCCTATACAATGGTTAGAAGTAATTATTATCCAGTGCTTGACAAAGTGTCTGGCTGGTAGACACTCAACAAATATTTGTGTATTTTCTACCAAAAAGAAAAGAAAAAAAAGGCTGATAAACAACAGAAAGCCAGAAATTCATATATTCTTATTTTTTTTAATTTATAGTATTCAATAATAGGTAATTTCTATTCTTTTTTTAATGCTAAAAAATAAAATACATACGAAAATAAGTATTTTAGTAATATGATTGCAAATGATCATTTTCACCCATTTAAAAATTGAGTTTTCTCAAGAATATCCAAAAGATTTGCTGAAATCCACAAAATCTTGACTTTATATAAAACAAAGATGTTAACTTTTTACTTGAATTCTCATGGCAATTTAAAGTATTAAGAACAGAAGCAAACCTTGCCGAGTCATCAGGGAGCAGTGGAGCCGTGACCAATGCTCACAGGGGACAGGCTTTCGGAAGACACCGTGCGACCTGAGTCCGAGTGAGCTGCACCGCAGGACGCAGCAGGGAGCCTGTCATTTACTCTTGCAGTAAATGATTTTGTGATTCTTTCAAATACCTTTTTTGTTATTTATTTTCTTAATAATAAGTCACAACATATTCAAGGTAAAAAAAATCTCAAATAATAAATAAATTCCCAAAAGCAAAAGAAACAAAAAGCTGCCTACACGAAGCAGTTCTAAGCCCACACCCCTTGTGAAGGCCCAGTCAGTCAGCGGGGCAGGGCGGGGGGGTGGGGGGGGGGGGTGTTACTGTGGGCCGGCCAAAAAGTTCACTCGGGTTTTTCTGGGCGGTGGCTCTAGCAGCCCTTAGTTGTCTTGACCTTCACTTGAAACAATTTTGTTAGATGGTATTATGACAGCTGTCACATCAGTGTGCATTTAAAAAAAAAATCAAAACTGGTGCATTTTTGTGCAACCATTTTAATATTGAAGACAGAAGAAAATAAGCAACATTTTTGGCACATTATGCTTTACTATTTTAAGAAAGGTAAAAATACAACTGAAATGCAAAGATTTGCACAGTGTATGGAGAAGGTGCTGTAACTGATTGAATGTGTCAAAAATGGTCTGCAAAGTTTTGTGCTGGAGATTTCTCACTGGACAATGCTCCACGGTCAGGTGGACCAGTTGAAATTGATAGCGATCAAATCGAGACATTACTTGGGAAGAATCAATGTTCACCAAGGGGGAGATAGCCGACATACTCAAAGTATCCAAATCAATAAAGTTATTGGTGAAAATGAAAACGATGACTTTTATTTTACAGAAAAAACCACACAGACTCCTTTGGCCAACCCAGTAGTCCCTGGGGTGGGAGGGAGGGACGTCATGCCAAGAAGAAGGAAAGACAACCTAGAGTAACAGCACTCTGGTCATGCTTCTCCTTCAGAGTTTACTGTGTTGACCTCTTTCCCAAACTACAAAACCTACAAAAAACAGACACACAGCACAGCCCTAATGTTTCCTACAGGTGCCACCAAGTGCTGTGTGCTGGGAAAGAGTCAGGGAGCAGAGGAGCCCGGTTTCCTAGGGGCCACAGGCTGGAGGACGGGTCGCCTCCCACCTCTCGCCTCTGCTTCGGCCTCTGTTGCTGCATCTGGACCGGGATGGGGAACTGTTACTCTTCTCCCTTTTTGACAAGGACCCTTCTCGCCACTGTGCCTCCTTCATCCCTGGAAGCTTGTTTCTCTATTCACTTCACATCTCACAGGGAAAAACCTAGTTCTGTCCATGAAAACTGGACTTAAGTTCTTAAGAGTGTAAAACAGGCATTATTATTTCTATTCATAAGAAAACTAGAACTGCATGAGTTATTAACTACTTTGAGCAACCTTGACTTTACTAAAGGATTTAAATTATTTGATCAAATGAGCATTATTATAAATATATATAAATAATAGAAATACTAACTCTTCCTTCAAAGTCTCATTGAGACTCAAAGTTCTAAAAACAGATGAAACTGTTCAAATCAGAGATCAATAGAAATGTACTCTATATTATATAAGATATAGTATCTCTGAGAATTTATGAGCAAACTAAATTTCAGTGCCTCGAGGCTAAGAGGTTAAAGTGATCGTGTGGCCCGCGGTCATGCACCTGGCCCGTAAGACCGTCAGGATTCAAATCCAGCACTAAGTCTACGCCCTTGCCACTTTACCGCGATGGACCCACACCAGAATGAGTGAGTTCCAAGTCAAACATTGGCAATGACTGAATTGAATACATTCTCTTTCTACTTTCCTTTGTTTTGATTTTTATAGGGATTTTTATTTTGAGAGAACATTCCCATTAAGGAAAAAAGTCCCATTAAGGAAAACAGTTATTTAGAAAATATAGTGGCTAATATTTCTAAAAAAAACAGTCAAAATACTGATTGAGTCTATACTGATGACACTTCAGCTTTCAAATGTAAAGTAACAGATCTGGAAATGAGCCTGTGACTCTAAAACTAAAAGAGGTAACATACTTGGCTCTGGCTTCCTCCCATTTTTGTTTTTTCTCATCAAAGGATTTCTTCATAACTTGGTACCATTTTCTGAAATCAAACCATGGCTTAGCTGAAAAAGAAAAAAATGAAACCCATGATTATTAACCAAGGAAGCCACATTATAATAATGTATATTGTTCATCTGAATCTTCATTCATTGACGTAATTAACCATTTACGTAACAGCCCCTGGAAGTCATGGATGGAGTCACTGTCTCTGGCCTCTAACGCGACTCCTGAGAAACCCTCCCGAGTACTCCTCCTCAGAGCATCTAGCCCCAGCCAGCTTACACCGAAACTGTCTTTTTATACTGCACGTCTGTTTCTCCAGGCTTGACTGCTGCCTCCCAGAGAACGGACGACGAGTTTTGTTTGCCACCGTGCAGGCAGGCCTCTTCCTCCCAGCCCAGCCCCCGCACAGGGCCTGGCTCACATGCCCCCGTATGGCTGGGAGGACACGAGGGAAGGGACAAGGGACAGATAAATGTGGGAAACGACACTGCAGTAGCTGAATTCAGGCTTCCAGTTTCATCAGCTCCTATTCCAGTTCTCCCTGATCCTAATCCAAAGCCCATGGGGTAGGCGAGAGAGTGGCCTGATGGGACAGTGGGGGTGGGTCCCGGAGGCCCAGGTGAGAGCTTACAGGGCAGCACGTGGTCCAGCAGTCACTCCTCACTCTACACGGGAGGTGGGAGGGGGGAGGGCAACGGGATGAAGGGGAAGCAGAAAGAGGCCCACAGGATGAGGGGCTGGAAGAAAGGCAGGCCGACCAGAGGAGGGAGATGGTGGAAGGCCAACTGCTCACATCTGCTCCTCTGTGCACGGCACCGACACTGCCAGGCTAACAGAGACAGGCACGCTTGGGCCTCTGGCTGTAACCCCGTGCCAGGCGTCTGCTGGAAGTCTGGACAGGAGCCACTGGGGCAGCAGCGAGCAGCCCTGATTTGGAAAGAGGTGGTGGGGAGGAGGTGTGAAGAGAAGGTACTTATGTTGCATCTCGAAGACTGAAGACAGACTTGCTGGGGACTGAAGGAGCGGGGTGGATGAGAAGGAAAGAGCATTTCAGGTGGAAGAACCAGTACGTGCAAAGGCTGAAGGCATTACAACAGACGGCCCAGCCACGAGACGGCCCGTAAGTCACGGGCTAGCGAGGCGGGGGAGGCGCCAGGGCTGAGGAAGCGGCGGGCCTCCACGCGCGGCGGGGCGTCGCCGAGGGCTCGGGTGGCCTGGAACACAATGCGGCAGCTATAGGCAAAAATAATCCTGGTACAAGGTATAATGTAGAGAGATGTGTATGTATATGTGTACATGTGCATTGTCAACGTATCTTCCCTACATTTATTGCATCTTTTAACCCATTATCTTTGACTTTGATTGATAAAAAAATTAAGTACCTTCTTTTTTCTCTTCATTATATTTCTCCGCAATAGTAGACAAAGACCTGGAGATACCAATAAACAAGTCAATTTATTTAGAAATCACTTACTTGAAGACAGTGACATTTTGAATTTTACCCTGAAAGAAAAGTATATAACAGTCCCTGACACTGATGGGCACTTTAGTGGAGAAGCAGTCACCGAGACAGAAGGGACTGCCTCGCTTTGTTGGTGTCTGGGAGGGGTGACATTTTAAAATTCCTTTACTTTCCAAAATATGCTTTGAGACACATGGCACCAGGAGCCTTAAGGCATATAGATAAAGCACTACTTCTTTAGGGCTTGTGGATGATACCTCAAAACCCAGGAATCAGTGGAATAATGAGAAACACATGTACCTACCTGACAAAGAGGAAAAAAACATGATACAAACAACTTACTAAGGTAGAATAAACTCTGCCAACTAGCTGAGTCAAAACGTTACGTAAGAAGTAACTGTGGCCGCTCGTCAACGCTCTGTAACAGCCGAGCGTTTCCATTTTCTAGCGAGATAACACATGGAGTCCTTCGCTCTGAATAATGAGGTAAAAACTATACAATTTTTCGTCATAAAATTGATATATACTTACCATTCTAAATTGTCATCCAATAGAAAGAGCAGCTTCAACACTATGACAATGACAGCGACAGCCTGAATATCATATTTAACAGTGTTTTTCTTTTTAGCTATAGGATCAAATGTCAGAAAATCCACTTCTCCTATTCCGGCCATTTTTACCACCTGGCAGGTGAAATTGTACATTTCATCTGTTTAGGGGAAAAAAACAAAAGAGTAAAACACGAGTAAGCTCTCTGACCAGCTGGAGTGCACACCCGCAAGACGGTCTTCGGCGCAAAGCACGGCGCGGTGCGGGAGCCCGAGACGCACGTCCGCCACCGCAGGGAAACAGACGGGCTGACGCGAGGGTCTTGACAAGGCGCGTCTTCCCCTCTTCTGGCCCCCGGAATGCCTGCCGCTTGTGAGACCCGGCTCGGCACCTGACACGCAGCCACAGGCGCGTGTCTGCGGGCTGGTGCACGTCCCTCGCCGGCGCCTCCACGGCGGCCAGCACTTCCCTGAACGGACCCCAGCGCGACCAGGGCCTCTCGGAGCGCACGCTCGCTGGCGGGCGCGCCCTCGGTGGGCGCACGGGACGGCGCCGTGTGCGCTCAGCGACACACGCAGCTTTCCCAAAGGCGCCGCATGCTCCGCAGGGGCTGCGGTCTGTTACGCAGTCTGGATACCGTGGACTCGGAACCAGAAAACGCAGGGCCTATGCTTAGACTTCCCAGGCATTATCTTTGTGACTCTGGGTTAGAGTCACTTAACCTCAGCTTCTTCATTTGTCAAGTGGGTTACAGTTGAAGAGGTGAGGATAAATTAAAAAGGGTATTATGAGAGAATATACACTGAACACTCTAAATTACGACACAGATTTCTTTACTCACTAACCTAAGTACTTAAGACACACCACATTCTATTTTAACTGATTTCGAGTAGAAGAGCTATTATTCGTGAGTGCATTATCAGTTGTATCGCATGCAACTGACTCTCCTACAAGCAGTCACCATGTTCTAGCCACTCCGCTTCCTTAGTGCAGCATACGGTACAGTGGGGGCGGGGAGACTAGGGAACCGAGTCCCGCGCTAGCTCTGTGACCGTGTGCGCATTATGTGGCCTTTCTGGGCCACAGCTCCCTTCGTCTGCATCAAGCAGGAGTGACAACGGTGCCTCCCTCACCTGTGTCACTGTGGAGATTTGACAAATGCCTGACCTAGAGCGCCTAAGCCTGTGCCTGGCTTACAGCCCCGGGGCTGTTCTGCCCGCCACTCTCCGATCTACCCTCACTCGCCCCCTCCCGGGCTTCCCCCCTCCGGCCGGTCCTGCTGTGATCGATCCCTCCCCACTGTCCCGCTCTAGCCGACCCACGCAGCCCTCGCTCCCAGCCCCAGCAGAGCTCTGCCCTTCCCCAATGGGCCCTGGGCTCACTAGCCTCTCTGCTTCACACAGTGATTCTTGCCTCTCTGCCCAGAAAGCCAATTTCTTTTCCTCGTTTCTCATTTCAAGCTCAGTTGGGTGGCCTCTCACCCAGCGGACAGACTCGATGACAGCAATCGTGCCTTCCAAGGACACTTGCGGGACGCCAGCAGCCTTCTTTGCTCAGCCCTCCTCTGACCAAGGGCACAGCTCTCTGGCACTCCCCCACCCCCCCAACCCCCAAACACACACTCGGCTAGGGGCCTACTTCCGTCTCCCTCTTCAGCTTGAGGGCAGATTCGGTCTTATTTGTCTTCTGAACCTGCACATAATCGGTGCGACTTCCATGTTTATGGTGAAGAATAGGTAAAATACAAAACAATTCTCTCCTAACATTTAAGTAAAAAATTTCCACTGATTAAAAAAATGCTTTGTTCACACAGAAATAGAACATATATAACAATTCAAATAGGTACCAAAGTATTTTTATACGTCTCCTGGGTTTTAATAACTTGGCTAACGTCTTGACTCGGCCTTTACTCACTCTTTCAGAACGTGCATATTGAGTAACTACTATGTTCTGGGTGTTAGAGTTAAAGACACAGCCCTTGTCCTCAAGGAGGTCCTTGGTTAGTGACATTTAAACAACTAGAGGTCAGTATGATCAGGACTGTGACACAGGAGATGGCGCTTCAGGGAACTTGCAATGGCTCAACCCGGGGCTCTGGCGTTGCCTGAGGAGAGGCAGGCAGGCCAGGTCATGAAGTCTGTGCAGCAGAGAATTTGGACTTATTATTGTTAAGATTATTTCAACTTCCAGATTCCATCTGAATATTTGTAGACTTCATTCAAGTGCAAAATGATCAGGAGATACAACATTAAGCTCCATTCAACAAGCACTTCCCGAGCACACTGGGTAGAGGACTAGGCTGTGACGAAGGAAATCAGAAAGACAAAAACCCCGGCGGACTCCTGCCTTCGAGCACACACGTAAAACATGGAAAGTTTCACTGCAAAATGCACGCGCTAAAATGTTACGGATGATCTGCACTGGGTTATAGAGGCTATATGTAGTCTCTTCCCCGGGTCATTAAAAATGGAAACCAAAGTAGTGTTATCATTATAAACAATGACATTTCTTGAAAACGGTCTCCTCTATTTCTTTTAAATTAATATCTTGAACTGTTGTCCTCTTACACAAAAGTACAGAGTACTGAAAAAAAACAGCGAGTGGAAGGACTTGTGAGAAAGGAAGTGGAGACGGCAGAGAAAAAGTAAGGCGTGGGCTCCTGAAGCGGATGCAAGGCAGGACACTGGCTCGGGACGGGAGGGCCGGGCTGCAGGTCTGCGCTCTGCCTCCTACCAGCCAGGGGTCACTGGGCCCTGCTGGGTCTCCTCTATAAATGAGGTGACATACATGGTGTTCAAACACTCAAGTGCCCCACAAACTGCCTCCGCATCTGATTGTGAAAGCTGCCAGGAATTCTCCCTGGCAGGCGTGCCAGTCCCAGGATGCGGAGCCCCGAGCTCATTCAAAGCCATCGGAAGTCAGCGCTTGCTCAGCAGGGGCATGGGTGACAGGCTGGGTAAAAGCCTCTGGCCGAGCTCCGGAGGCCACGTGGTCACACAGAAAGGCCCTGGAGAGGGGCACTTGTTGCCACGGCCTGTTTACAACTCCTCCCAGCTTCCTGGGAACCCCGCGAGGGCTGTCCATGTGCCAGCAGCAAGGGTCTCCTCTCTGTGGCACTGTGGGTGGCAAGAGCTGCATGTCTGAAAATGGCGACACCCCAAAAGTCTCCCCACAATCTCGTGGGTGGTGTGCAAACCGATGCACATTTTAGAATCTCAACCTTAAGGTGCAGGGACAAGCACATCTTTATTTGTAGATCTATTTTGTTTGTTGTTCTACCCTCCTCCCACTATGAAGCAAAACAACCTCGACAGAGGACATTCATAAAACACAGAAGGTGGAAGGGAGGAAAAAATATGTTGCCATGACTTGGAAATACCATTTTAATATTTTGGTAGATTTACTTCTCTAATTTTTATCAATATTTTCATTTTATGTAGCTATGGTTATTTATATATTGCAATTTTGTACTTTGGCTTATCTTACTTTTTGCTGTAACATAAATACTTTCCATGCTTTTCTGAACTTTTCACAAACATGATTTTAAAAGCTGCATACTGTTTCCCTGGGTATACATACCACTGTTTATTTAACCATTACCTTCCTGTTAGATATTTAAGTTGCTTCCGATTTCTTGTATTATAAATAAGGTCAACAACATGGACACATTTTTTTTTTTCTATTGAGCAGTTTGTGAGCAATGAAATGTCTGTACCTCAATTCTTTGTAATACTGCCTCCCAAACAACACTTAATAAACATCAGGTGGTAGTAATACCTCTCTGCCTATTGCAGTGAGTTTAATTCTCTTTGTCACTCTCCGGAGAGTTAGGTGAGAACAGTGCTAGACACACCCGCTGGCCGGAACACTGCAGTGCGCAATGGGGCCCGGCGTCTGCCACAGACCGGCTGCACCCGTGCGCTTTGGTGACCCCTGCCACGCCTTCCCCGCCCGGCGCCCCCTTTGTAAGTCCAAGGCTTGGGAGTGCATGAGAGAACACAGGAACTTGCGATCTTTGAAAGAGCCATCAAAGAAGTAAATTTAAAAAAAGTAACATCTGAAACAGTAATTCTGCTCCACGCAATATGTCTGATGCAGAAATCTGACTTTCCAAATCCTGGAATCTTAATCAAATAGAGAGTGACTTCTGAAATCTCTGGAAGAGACATACACTCCTTTGCTTATTAAATATATTTTCAAAGTTTAAATTGTTTTTGTTCCTTAAATTATAGACTTCATGTTTACATGTCTGCATGTTACTACATATTTATACTTACTTTATAGTTAAAATTATACTATACAGCTTTACATACTGCTTTTCTCATACATTTATTTTCCTTTTCTATTAAAAATATTTTAATCACTTTTTTTAAACAAGGGAATGAGTTCTTAATTCAAACTGTAGCAACATGTTCTTTAAAGATTTTATCTATTTATTTTGAGAGAGACTAAGGGAGGGGGAAAGAAAGGGAGAGAAACATCAATGTGTGGTTGCCTCTCACATGCCCACAACTGGGGACCTGGCCCACAATCCAGGCCTGTGCCCTGACTGGGAATCGAACCAGTGATCCTCTGGTTTGCAGGTTGGCACTCAGTCCACTAAGTCACACCAGCCAGGGCTAATCACACTTTTGGTATTGCTTTAGCAATAGTATAGTCACACCATATTTGCATTTTCTATTAAAAATGAAAGTCCTGAACTTCTTACATTTCTAGTTTAGCCAGAAAGTCAAGAATGGATTCCAGCAGCAAATTCCACTGGGCAGCCTGTGTCTTCAAGGCCTAGTGAGGCTCTTTTCATATTCTCTGTTTCATTGCCTTCAAGAGTTCATGTGCTCCAACCAGACTTGGATCTCCATTTGTTTTAGGGACTGGAAATAGCATTATATTTCCAAACAATAAAAATGTTACCATAAATTAGCTCTTGGGATTTTTAAAAATTAGAAATCATGATGTAATAATCATGCTTCATGCAAATGAGGAAGTTGGGGGGCACACCTGGGTCATTGATACACACACACCGAAACATTTGTTACTTTACTTGCACTCAGCAAAAACCAAATACATGCTCTCAAGCATGGCCCTCACACCGAAAGAGAACTCTTTGTTTCCGGACAGTGCCCTTTTCACCATTTTACATGGCCTGAAATACCTTAAGAAGGAATTGCCCTGTTAAGCTTCATGTTGCTCTGGCCCCTGCTGGGTGGCTCCACGAGCCTGCGATCTGAGGGGGCTCCGCGTTTTGCTCAGTAGGACTGTGGTCGGTAAACTCGTCCTCAAAGACAAATGCCCCTCGCTTACCAGGGAGGTTGACTTCCATGAGGTACTTCCTACACAGGATGTTCGGATGAAGGTAGCACTCTTCAGTTATGTCCGGGAAACGAGGCAGGTCCAAAAATATGGCAACTTCGATCATTTTTTTATAGATATCCTCGTAGGTAGGCCAAGACTGGAATAAAAGACAGATACTCAGGGTAGCAATTTTCTCAACATAAGCTAGTTTTTAAAATATTTTCTGATTTTAAAGTACCATGTACTCATTGAATGAAATTGGGAACGTGGAGAAAAGCGTGAAAGGGAAAAACGACGCATCCCTATCATTCTAACTTAGCAGTTATAATTAGTAATAATACCAAATTAGAAAGCCACTAAAATTCTGCTTGACTCATAAAACCCTCACCGGCCTTACCCACGACACAGTGAAACCGTGACTTCTCGCCGGGCGCAGGCGGTCCTGGGGAACAGGTAAAGCCGCGGCCCGCCTGGGCCCGCAGCGCCGCGCTAACCGCTCTCCCGGGGCGGCCCTCACCCGCCTTCGGGCCTGCGGCTCACTCATTCAGCTGGGTTATGTAATGTCCACAGGGTCCGCTGTGACTCAAACTGACCCTCGTACACATTCACAGCAGCTTTATTCCTGACAGCCGTAGGGTGGAAGCAACACCAGTACCCATGAATGGATGGATAAACAGGGGCGGTCTACCTACACAACAGAAGAGCGTCCATCCGCAGAAACGAGCGGAGCCGACGCGCTTCGCAGGATGGGCCTGACGTCTGGGAAGGTGAAATGCTTTGGAGGCGGATAGCGGCGATGCGTGCGCAGTGCAAATGCATCTAATTCTACTGCCCTGCACATCTAAAACTGGCTTAAAGGCTAAGTTTTATGTTATGTATACTTTACCACAATTTTAAGAAATTATAAAGAAGGAACCTACATGTTATCTAACGGAAAAAATACCCAAATATATTAGAGATATCATAATTAGAATAATAAAGCTGAAGATTTAAAAATTTCAACATAAGGCAACCAACTAAACGGGAGGTGATAATTACAAACAACAGCTCCAACAAAGGGTTAATGTCCAAAATATATAAAGAATTCATACAAATCAACAGCAAACAAACACTCCAATGAAATGGGCAGACACTTCTCTCAAGAAGACATACAAATGGCCAACAGATACATGAAAAGATGCTCAGCTTCACTGGCATTAGGGAGATGCGAATCAACACCGCAGTGCGACGCCGCCTCCCACCTGTTAGAATGGCTACGACCCACAGTGCTGGGGAGGTTGTGGAGGAAAGCAGACCCTCATTCACTGCTTGTGGGAACGCAAGCCGGCACAGCCACTACAGTGGGAGACAGGAGGGCAGTTCCTCAAAACGCTGAGAATGGGATTACCATGTGGCGCAGCGCCCCCTCTTCTGGGTGTCTACCCAGCAAACTCAAAAACTTATTCGCAAAGACATTCGCCCCTTACGGTCATTGCAGCCCTGTTCACAGCAGCTGAGGCGCGGGGACACAGAAGCGCCCTTGGATAGAGGGCTGGGTAGGTGGGCAGGCGTGGTGCGTGCGTAAAACGGAGCACCCCTCAGCCAGGAGAGAGGACGGAACACTGCCGTTTGTGACAGCCTTCTGAGCAAAACAAGTCCAAAAAAGCTGAGAACCACGTGGCTGCACTCACATGTGGGGATATAAAGCCGAGACGCATGGACACAGACAACAGCGTGGTGGTCGCCAGAGGGAGGGCCGGGGGCAGCAAAGGGTAACGGGGCCGAGTAAGAGGTGATGGAAGATGATCTGACTTCGGGCGGCGGGCACACAGTGCAATTTACAGATGTGTCATAGAAACGTCCACTCGAAACGCACATGGCCTTATGAGCCAAAGTCACCCCAATACATTTAATTAAAAAAAGGAAAAAAGCAAAGAAAAAAATTTTTAAATTCAACATATATAAAATGCACAAACATTTAAAATCTATAATACTTGCTAATATCTAACTTATATAAAATATCTTCACAACGGAGGCATACATTTGTGGGGGAGGCAGTGAAATTACTGAACTATTAAATCTAGAACGCCAAGGCAGAGTGCCTTTCCCAGAAGACAGAACACACAGAGCAATAGCAAGTGTTAAGCACCACCTGCCAATCTCTCGCTCGGGGCCTCTCTGGCCAGAGATGAGGCTGCATTACTACTCACTGGCCCCACTACCGAGCCGGAAGCGGTCCTTAGGCCTCGGCTGGGGTAGGCGCTCTGACTGGACGCCCCGCGGCCCCCGTGTCTGCCCCAGGGGCGCCCCCACAGGCTCAGAACCTTCCTTCCTCCTCCGCTATCCCTGGCCCTGGTGGCCCCGTTGTCCCTCCGCGGTGTGGCTATGGACTGTCCTCCCCCCATAGCCGCTCCCAGGCCGGCCAAGCCGGCCCCGCATCGCAGCCAGGCCTTGGCGGACGGCCGAGCGCGTGTCATGCAACCGGGTTCCGAGGCGAAGACCCCCGCAGAGCGCGTGTGCTTCTGTCCCACTGTCCTCCTCCCAGAGAGGGGGATCAGGCTTGAACTTTGACAAGATCCCAAAACACGGACAGCTATCACAGAATCATGCGCAGGAAACATTGAACGACTGTGTTTGTGTTATCTTATTTTTGCTTTTAGAAGATGCGCTCACGCACAGAGCGACGTGGGGGGCGTGGCAGGAGAGGTCTGCCGGGGCCCCTGGCAGGCTCTCCGCGTGCAGCACGGCGCAGTGACACCTGCTTTAAACTGGACGTTGGCACTCTGCTAGTCAGTCTAACTCTGCTCAAATATTTTGTGGAACAAGCTGGAATAATAAAAGAGGCAGAGAGATAAGACTAGTCTACGCTGCTTCTCTATCAGAATCATTTGCAAGGTGCTCGTTAAAAATGCATGTTCCTGGATCCCACACCACACTCCCCGGGTCAGTCTCCGGCACTGGGTCTAACAGCCTGTCCTTCAAACAAGCTCTCCAGGATATTCTTATGCAAAAATAAAATAGAAGGAAATGAAAGTAAAGTAAAATAGGATGCAGTGGCTTCCCAGCCTCACTTTTCTTGCAGTTAGAAGAGGCGCACGTTCCTGCGGCCGGGCAGCAGAGGTGCTGGATGGGCGGGGCGGGGGTGAGGGACACCGAGAACACCTGTCATTGTGACGCACGCCTTCATCCCCCCAGGTAGATGTCAAACCTGTCAGATGATGATTGTTCCAAAAGATTGCACAAACAATCCAAGGGCTACATGTGGCCGACAGAGTAAGTCGGTGAACAAATCCAGAGTAAAGTTTGAAGGCTCAGTGCGTACTGAAACTTGACCCAGTGAGGATGTCACCTGGGCTGCTTGAGGAGTGACTGACGGCTCTGCAGGAGGCTTTTTCGTCCCCCCTCCCCCCGAGACAGGGACCTAGTTTCCCACAGAGGGGTAAGACTGCTCCAAGGCAAAATGAGTCACCGTGGCAAAGTGCCACTCAGTGGGTTTGGCTGAACCAGCGCTACGCCTTTTCTTTTCACTCATTCAGAGAGAAGATCAGAATGTTGTTGATCAACGTTCAGAAAAACACTGGAGAAGTGCGTCGGAGTGACCTTCCAGTGTCCTCTGTGTCCCTCTTGCGGAGTCTGGGGACAGGTGACGAAACACCTTCTTGAGAGGATTTGGAAACACTGCTGAGGGCCGTGGGAGACTAACATGTGTGTTACAGTGATCTGTGCAATTGGTCTGTGGGTTGAAAACATATACAAATAAAGCAAATCAAGGCCAAAAAGAGAGAAGTAGCAGAAATCGGCAGAACAAACTGTATCTGGAATAGAGACAAGTGTGTCTAAACTCAGCTTTGGTTCAAGCAGCGATGGACTATTTGGTACTCTCTGTAGGAAGGGTGTCCTGAAAGAAACCAGATCTTCAGTTTATTTTACCAGATGAACAACCAGGGTTTTGCTAGAAGAAAATAATATTTTGAATCTGTACCACGCTCCAGAAGCTGAAGTCAAAAATGCACCAGCAGAAGCTGCAAAGGCATATGAAGAAGGAGGTTATCTTTAAATTAAGAAAGGAAAAGAAAAAAAAAAAGACAAAAAAGAAAGAAAAGGCAGGCTATCTGCCTGGAGTTGGGTATTACAGCTCAGAAAAACACTACAACTTAATTTGTGCGCTAGTCTCCTCTCCTGAGCTTCGCTCTTGTGGCAGAGTGACGGCAGGGGACCCGCTCGGAGAAAGAGAGCCAGCCACGTCAACACCCTCTGTACCCCTCTGTACCCCGTGTTCCATTCTCTGATGTGTCAAATGAGCTTTGTCACATTTGTTTTTACTGGGACAGAGGGGCTCACTGAAATACTAACAGAGCAACTTAGGGAGAGAAAGCATCCACCTAGGGTAAAGGGTTAAGGGTCTTCAAAGATCTTGTGCGCTCTCTCTCTCTCTTTTTTTTTTTTTGTTTGTTTTTTAAGCAGCGCTCAACTTTCTGGAATAACAAAAACAAAATAAAACCAAACCAGAAGAAAACCAGTCCCCAGCAGCCCACACACACAAAACCCCGGGGCACTATCTCCGCCGCCATCTCCAGGAACAATCGCACCTTTTGTCGTTGGCGGTGGAGGCCGAGCTGCTGAAGAAGCCAAGACTTAGCGAAGGAGGTGAGACATGGAAGGAGGGAGCAAAATGCTTCCTTTGTTCCCGAAAAGCCGTTTCCATTTAAAAGTTTCAACATACTATGGAAGAGTGAATGCACTTTTGTGAGCAAAGGCAAAGCACACAATGAAGAAAAGCTGCCTGTCAATTAAACAAACAGTCATCTGAAGGCATCTAAACCTTCCCCCCTTTTCTTGAAAAAAACGTGGGGACAGGCGGGAGGGAATGTGGACTGTGACGAGCTGTGGCTGAAGATGTGTCCAAAAGGTAAACGAGGACACAGAGGGCTTTTCTTGGTTCCGATGTTTTTAAAAAGACGATGAGGCTACAATAAGCTGTCCTGGCGTGCATTGAAAACGGAGTGCTTGGGAAAGCATTTCACTGAATTTCACAAATATTTCCGTGAGTTTATTTTCCTTCATGAAGCAATGCCTTCAGACAGGTAAGGACAAGCTAGAGTTTCTGTTACACAACAGCAGGCTCTTGTGATAAACCTGATTACAATGCCCTGTCAGAGGCGCGCTTCCTGCTTAGCTATTAAAAAAAAAGCGCAGGGCCTCGCCCGCCCCCTTACTGTTGTTCCACAGCAAAGGCTCAGCTGGGAAGCAGCTAGGGCTCCATGCACCTGCTGATCCAAAGTTAGAGTAAGACTTCCTATTACAAAGAATAATTAATAAGGAATACGAGTAATGTCGGAAGTAAAGCACTGTAATCTGTTATTTGTGGAGGAAGGATAAAATAAATTCCTCGTGTTATAATTCACAAAGCAGTTCACCCTGCATTTTCAGCCCACTAGATTTATCTCAATGGTTTTAAACCTACCAGGTAGTGACAAAAATAAATACTTCTTTATGTTCAAAGTTGAGTCTACTGGGAGTCTGTAGCACACACATTACTTTCTGTGAAATGTACTCTTGGTCCTGGGGGTGGGACCATTTCAGAAACATTGTCAGCTTGTGCCGACAGACAAGTCTCACGAAAAAACACAAACACATGAACTGAAGACCATAAAGACTTGCCAGCTGCAGGGACATAGTGATTCGTTTTGGCCTCAGGATGAGCTAGGGAAACCTACTGGAGTCCTTCTTTAAGAGGCCTCTGTTCTCCCAATATTCTGCTGACCGTTGCGTAGCTCTGTTCAAACACCACATATCTTTACTAAAGATTCAAAGCTGGTGTCCAGAAGAGCAGATAATCCCCAAGTAACTCTCTTTGCTCTAGGAAGGGTTGTGTGCTTATTTTTGCAGCAGCTGTAGTTTTGTCGAGACTTGATTTTCTTTAGATGAGCCCCCTGCCCGAGTCCCGTCCTCTCCCCACAGACGGAACCCGCTGGCTGCCGGGCGGCACTGGCCCCGGGTCGGACTAGATCACAGGCAATCCACATTAAGTCGCTGGTTCCACTTAGCAAATGTGAGCTGATTCCCCTAAAAGAATCATCATCTGTGCAACCTCAAACAAATGTTTTCTGACCGAAATAATTCACCGTTGGGTTCAGTATATTGGTAAAGAGTACAAATTAACTGATAATTATTTATCTCACATACTGGTTTTCATTAGTGATACCAACATACCCATAATTTGCCTTTTTAAATATCCTTGCTCATAAGCAGAAAATATATCCCTCACATATTTATCACTAAAATTTTAATAGAATGTCTTTTTATTTTGTTGATCAAATGCCTCTACTTAATGGACTCCTGATATACTATGTAAGAAATACATCAGAAGCAGTCTGGAAGTGTCCTGCTCAGGTGGAAAAACTCCCCAACAGATTAATTTGAGATCTCCTAAAAATAAAGTATTCAAACTTACTCATTTTTTTAAAGCTATTTCAGATAATGTTAAGAATACACACAGACTGAGTCCTTACCATGTCTAGTTGCATTAGGTGCTACGGATAACACAACAGAAGCATTAAATATGGTCCTGCCTCCCACAAGTCACTGGGGATGCAAGACACATATACAGAAACCCAGGCATTACCTTTTAACTTTTACTCCTGTTTTATAAATTCAATTTAGTCATCCTCTAGCTGCCTTTAAAATCTTGAAAAATACAAAAAGAACACATGTAACATTTCTGCAAGCTATGAAGCATGACAGCAGAATGAATACCTAGGCACTGCGCCTGACTTAGGAACAGGAACTTACCAGCTCCGCCTCACCTACCAGGGCACACCGCCCCTGTCTCTCCCTCAGCACCCCCTCCAGAGGTAGCTAGGATTCCTAATTTTCCTCATCACAAGCTTACCTTTTAAAAAATACTTTCATCACACACATACCTCAGTTCCATTGGCTCCCCTCAGAAAACTGAACAAATGTAAAGACACTCCCCTACAATTATTGAGCCAAAAGTCTTTCCCTTTCAGCAGAACATTTAAACAAGGCTCAGATGTCTAGCCATAAACATTTTAGCCGCTAAATTTAAAATGACTAATTAATAAATTATATAGATTTTAAAGCCAATTATTTTAGGAGGAACTTCCAGGGGACAGTGTCAGGACAGCATCAGCAGCGTCTGGACTTTTTGTCTTGCTGAGCCATCTGGAAACATAAAAGATCCATCCGCCTTCGGTCCAGGCTGTTCTGAAACTAAGGACTCAGGCTGCTCTTTTCCCAGATGAGCAAGGGCTCCGGCGGCATCGGGCGCACCCTCTGCCTCCGTGTTTCCTCCCCGATCCTTCCTAAGTTCCACCACGTCTCTGACACGCAGCCGGGGCCTGGAGCCCCAGCTGGAAAAGCAGGATGTGTCGTGAGTCTCTGGCCTTTGTTTTTCTGTTTTTTGATTTTTTTTTAAATGTTATTTATTTATTTTTAGAGAGAGGGAGAAAGAGACGAAGAACAATATCGATGTAGGACAGATATATCGATCAGTTCCCTCTCGCACGCCCCCAGCTGGGGACCCGGGGACCTGGGGGCCTGGGGGCCTGGCCTGCAACCCAGGCCTGTGCCCTGACTGGGAATCGAACTGGTGGCCTCCACTTCGCGGGCCAGAGCTCAGTGCCCTGAGCACAGCAGCCGGGCTCTGGTCCTTTAAATCAACGGCCGCAGCCCTGCCCAGGCTGAGCGACAGACCAGCTTGCCGTTCTATGATGGTCCACCCTTCGGGGAGGTTGCTCTAGGACACCAGCCAGACACACACCCGCTGTCCCCGTCATCACTCCTGGGACCGCCCTCCAGCTGGTCCTCTGCCCCAAGCTTTCTGGTCCCGGCTGCCATCTCCGCCACGGGGCCACCAGCCCTTGGCTTCAGTAACCAGTCTGGAAGGCCCTTTATCGCCTCCGCAGCCCACTCCCACTTCCTGCCCCGCTGCTCCCTGCCCAGCCCGCACCCCGCACCCCGCACCCCATTCTCACGGCTGGTGCAGTCCCTCTTTTCTGCTGCCTTCTAATCTCAGGCTGCAAGGCTGTGCTGGACTACGTTCAGAGTGAGAATACCAGGCCCATTGCGTAACAGCTCTGTCTTGGTTTCCTCGTCTGTAAAATAGGGGAAATAACACTACCACATACTTCACAGGGTTGGTATGAATAATGGATGAGCTTATGAAGTCTCGGAAACGTGGCCCGGTACCTAATAAGCCCTCCCACTACTATTATTTCTTGTTTTTTCCAGGTCAAGTGGTGGCTGCAGCTCTGCCCTCCTTCCTCGTGCTGCCCACGGATGGGCAAGGGCAGGCACCTTGGAACCTGTCTCATCTCTCCTGGGTGTAAATTCACAGGGACTACGAGGAAGCAGCGCTGCGCACCCACATCCCAGCCAGCTCCGCATCCTCTGAATCTATGGCAACTGCACCGGCACAAATTGTTCTGAGGGCAGAGCCACTGCTGAAGAAGTCAAATGGTCTCTACATCGTTCACAGCAACCAACATTCTAATTCAATGCAAAATGCTGCTAATATTTAATAACCTCAGGTGTAAAATGTTATGGCACGTTGCAAACTTACTTACCTGTGTTTCCAGCCACCTGTTGCCCTCTGGCTCAGTACTTAGAGTTAGCGCGCTACAGTGCTGTAGCTTTCACAGCGCCTGTCTAAGTGTCCTGAAGAACTCGGGGGGCGAGGACAGAAGGCTGGCAGGCAAGAGAGCGGGAGATGACACACCGAGCATAAGGCCTCCAGTGTGGCAGCTCTGAGGCCGGGACTGCCGCCGCACGCCCTCGGCACCTCATTCTCCCTTTGTGAGGTGTCTGCTCGCAGGTAAAGTTGGGATAAAGTGAACCATAATTATCATACGGGGCTTAGTAAGGATCACAAATTAAACCGCAAACAATGTAAAGGTTGTGAACACTAGGAAGGCTTATGAAAATAACTTCTTAAGTGGGCAAGTGAAAGATAATGTTTAATATTCATAAGATTTAGTACATTGAAAACCTTCCGATGATGAACAAAGGGAAGACAAGCTTTGAGCGCTATAAATGGCGACAAAGCCTCCTAATGCGAGGACAGAAGCCCTTCCACGGGGGACAGCGGGCCACAGATCTAGACAAAGGCCAATGCCCGCAAAGGACTGAAAACAGTGCCTCTTGACACAGGATAATATCTTCCTTTTATTTTTGCCAAAGTGACAGAGTGCACAAATAACAACAAAAAACATTTTTCAGAACATTTAAAATTATTTAAAGTTCCCGAGATAAAGCTTTTCAAGTTTACTATCAACAACATACCTTTCTGCTATGCACACATCTCACACTTAGCTATATTTTGAGGCTAACCTAAGGAATTAAAAGAAGCCACATAAGGACAATAAAAAATAACGACTCTACTCTTCATTAAATTATGACTGGTGTTCCATATTTGGCCAGAATGTAAACTAGATGACATTTTTGAAACTCTTAACACCAAGTACGAGGTTGGACAAGGACCGCGCGTCCCCACACCGTGCCCGGGGCTTCTCGGCGGCTCCCAAGGTAGGGGACAAACTGACCTCCACCGTGAAGATCCCTTTGTCACGCCCGTACAGCTTCATCTCTTCCGGAAAGTGCTGGAAAGCATTCACGTAAGGAATGTGGCCCTCTTCGACAAGCCTGCGTGGTTAAAGAGAAAGAGCTTCAACAGGCAATAGGGACTGATTCAGCAAAGCGACGGAAGGGCTGAACGTGCTGTACTTCAAAGACGAGGTAAGAACTGGCCGCGTGTGTTGTTATCCTATTTTTTAGGATGATTCTATTATTCTCCATCCGTGTGCGGAGAAACCGTTTTGTTGGTTATCTGAAGGTCTCATGCTTCTGACCTCTGTAGTCAGATGGACCCTTTCTGGGAAGGGTGAATCCTCCCTGTGAGTTCTCTGCACGGCTCGCGGGCACGGCCTTGCCTCTCCCCGTCTCCCTCACGCAGTGACCTCTGCCTCATCTTCAAATCACTTCTTCAGGGAGACCTCCTAGGACCCGCTTCCTTGTGAGAACACCTCCCTCGTCTACCCTTCAGTCCCCAGCGCCTGCATGGTAGACGACTGTCATTATAAGAACAATTCAGGGAGGGGACCTTGCCCATTTGCTTACCACTCCATCCCAATGGCTGGTACATAGCAGCGGATCAAATTTGTGTAAATTATTGAGTTTGAAGAAAATAGCACATATATAAAATAAGTACACATACATATTTATTTACAATTAATTCATTAATTCGACAGAAATTAATTGAGTGCTACATATATACCCAGCACTACTCTGGGCTGTGGAGACAGAGCAGTGAACAAAACAGGAAAGTATTCTTGTTCCTAAGGAGTTTCCATTCTGGCGAAAAGAGAAAGATGGCCAACAAAACAGATACATGGAAAGTATGGCATGCTGGGTAGAAAAAAATACCATGAAGGAAAATAAAGTAGGGAAAGATAAGAGAATGAGGAATGGGGGTATATATATATGCATGTATACACACACACACCTATATACACATAGACATTAGACTTTTACATTAAAAATTATTAAGGAAAATAAGATAAAGACAAGAATAAGTTAGTATACAAAATATTTTGCCTCTGTTTTTGGTAGAGCTACTGGTTAAAGACTTATATCGATTCAACTTTAATTCCAAATTTAAAATGATTTCTTCAAATTTTTAGTCTTATGGAAAGTTGAGAATTAAAGTAAATATTTTATGTAAAAACGATGTTTTATGAAACTTAATAATGAAATGGGTTCATTAGAACAGTCCTCTGGGGCAACCCACCTAGGTTCTCATTACTTTAACTTGTACACAAGCATCTGTGGATAGTAGTCAGTGTTCATATTATTTTGGAACTCATTTTTTGGTTCAATATTATTTTATATTACTTTATACAGGATGTATTACATCCGTTTCACTTTGATAGCTGCCTGGTATTCCATGATATTAACATACTCATACTTTATTTAGTCATTGGCTCCATTTGATTTTTTTTACATATACGCGCGTGTGCACACACGAGCACCAGTGCTGCCGCCTGGACCCAGGCAGGCCAGACAGGCGGCGTGGGGGTGAGTCAGCACAGACGTGCGCAGTGCCCCGTGGGCACACGGCGCTTCGGGGGCTGCAGAAGGCGCAAGAAGCCTGCCAGGGGAGAAAGACGTCTGCACAGCAGGTCTTGGGCACCTAGCGTTTTAACAATGTTCACCATTTTAAAATATTGCTGCTCTTCATCTCTTTCCAAAGCATTGTTTTCCTTTTTGAATTTCCGTTTACACAAAGTCTATGCTTATCCAGTCAAAGTTCTGAACGGTCTATTCCCCTTGCTCAGGACTCTCGAGTGGGTCTCTGGACCCACCCGGGCAGCTGGCATAGGCGCGGCCCAGGCTGAAAGGCCCGCCCGGCCAGCAGACGCTGCCCTAGCCCCGTCCTCCGGAGACACTTTATAATTCTATTATGTTTTTCAAAGTTTCAACCTGTGTGTGACAGATTAGAAATTTAACAAGTTGGCTCTTCATCACAGATCACGTAAGAAGCGCTGCATCAGCATTAGGTCGCGTCTACTTGCAAACATGCCCTGAACCCACCAACCTGGCTCTGTTTCTGTTCCCCTCACCCCAGCCGCAGCCACCACCGCAAGTGCAGCGCGGCCCCTGCGGCCCCGCTGTTTCCACCCGCCCGTCCTGGACTCCGCGCTCCCTCAGCAGCCTCGAGGCCCACGTCTGTCTCTCCCGCTCACTCTCCTGGGGCGCGCACGGTCACACTCCTAGTGAGCACGCGTGTCCTTCTCGAGCGACGACGATGTCAGGGGAACAGAGAGAGACAGTTGCACAGCCTTGTGAATATACTGAAAACCACTGAATTGCATTTTAAAAGGGTGAATTTTATTGTATATGAATTTTATCTCAATTTTAAAAAATCTAAGCTCCTAGCCTGGCTTGCGGAGCCCTGTATCTGGCCCCTGCGTATTGGCTCCCCGCCCTCCCCCTCTGATTCCTTCCAAGTCGCTTCCTCCGCCACACTCGCCTCCTCTGCCCCTGGATCACACGCAGCCCGCCCTCGCTGTAGGCCGTGGCGCTGGGAACCTCCCTCCGCCTGGGATGCTCGTCCTTCCAACATGCACCTGCTGGCTCAGGTTCCATTCCAAATGCAGCCTAAATCCGCCCTCTCAGTGAGAGCCCCCTAGGGAGCAGCCGAATGTAGCCCTCCAGCCGTTCTCCACATCCCCGACTTCGATCTTCTGCACAGCACTTCCTGTTCAGTCATTCATTTACATAATTGTGTATTTGCTGCTCATCTGTTTCCTCCTCTGCTCTTGAACTTCATGAGGGCAGGGACTTGCGCCATGTGGTTCACAACTGTATCTCATGAACAACACCTGTGTATAGGCAATATTCAGCAGACAGGTATGGAATGGCTACACGCTGGCTATTGTTATTTATTACTGTCATTGCTAGGTAGGCAGTTCTAAGGATTATGAATCTACCCTAAGGCCTGTGGCTGCTGCCAGAGGACAGAAACGGGGGCGTGACAGGCAGGACCAGGACGAGACACAAGGGTAGTGCGGCCAGGCCAACCACGGAGTCGCTTCAAATCAATGCTCTCCACCTATTTTTCCAAAGTTGGGCAGTAGTTCCCAAGTTAGCATGCACAGGAATCTCCTGGAGAGCTTATGAAAACAGGGGTTACCAGCCCCTTGCCAGTTTCTGGTTCAGAAGGTCCAACTGGGCCCAAGGACTTGCCTCTGACAAGTTCCCAGGTGATACCGAGGGTCAGGGACCACACCCTGAGAACCTGGTCTTAGAACTCTTTCTCCAAGAGAGGCAGAGGAAGGGGACACTCTCTTCCATCACTCCCAGCAGGCAAGCTGGTTCACAGCAGTGAGTGCGCAGAAAGCAAATAAAAGCCCTCCTGCTCACCAGATCTAGCCTCCTTGAAGGTCCTGCAGACCCCCTTGGAGGGAGAAGCGAGGGAGGAGGGGAGGAGGGCGGGAGAGAGCGCAGGAGAGGGGGGGGGAGCGAGAGAAGGAGACGCGGTGCAGGACCCTACCCCCTGTCTTCCAACCACATACAATATCCCCCCTGAGAAGTGCGGGTAAGTATTTCCCCGTCTGGTTAGATTCCTAGGGGAGTCCGTTATCCCCACAGACTGCCCCAGGGAGGGTGGCCGCCCCCCATCCAGCGCTAGCGACATGACTAGACTGCCGTTTCTGTGCGACCCCTCTGTTACGGAGAAGAAGGGATAAAGTGGCACCCAGGACTGCAGGCAGCGGGCTCACCCGGGAGCGGGGGAGGAAGCCAGGTGAAGGCAGAGACGGGGCAACGAGGGGAGAGGGGGGCTTTCGAGAACTGCTCTGCCTGCAGGACTGACAGGACACCTGCCTAACTGCGCGGGCAGAGAGAGGAAAGGGTCGGGGGGCTCTGAGCCTCCTGAACAGGAAGCAACCGAGGGCACCGTATCTAGGAAGAAAGAACGCGCCAGGGAAGGAGCTGGACTAAGGGGCAGAGGACAACCCTCTTCGGGTCATGCCCATGTGGCGATACTGTGAAGACCCGCGAGGGGCGTCGGCGGCAGTCGCACTGTATCTGTGACTACGTGGGTCCTGCCCTGCGTGGGCAAGTCTGGGCTGGAGGGATTAACTGGGGAGTCATCACCGCAGAGAGCGTAATTACAGCCTTGGGAGAGAGGATGAGGTCACCCAGTGAGGGTATGAGGAGCAAGACGGGGTTTTTAACATGACAGTAAACTTCACTGAATCACGGGCGATCTGCACCCAGTTAATCACATCAGAGACGAGCCTTGTTATTTGTGGACGGGGCCAAATTCAAAGGCACTATCATCTTTTACTGGAGGCATTTTATTTAATCAAAGGGCCCAGTGCCAGTAATGATGATGATGGTGAAGAAGGAGGCAGAGGAGGAGGAGAAAAAAGGGAGGAGGAAGACGACGACAGAAACAATAACGACCAGCACTAGGTTCTTATGATGTGCCAGGCTCGGCTCAGAGCGCTTCTCACGCGGTGATAATTACTGAAAGCAGTTACAGCCCCCCAAGGTAGATGTTATTATCTCTGTTTTACCAGTAAGAACACAGGTTGAGAGAAATTAAATTCAAATTAAAACTTACTCAAGGTCACATAACATACAAATGGCAGAGACAGGATTTGAACCCAGGAGTGTGGTTCTAAATCTATGTTCTTAAAATCACTCTACACACTGATTAAACCCACATGCTATTCATTAGAATACATAAAGCAAGGGAGAAATGAACACATTAATGATTTTGGCACATCTTCTATTTAATGAGGAATTCTTACACACAATGCCGTAATTTGTGCATTAACCAAAAAAAGCCCTGTAGATTATCTTGAAAATATGCTGACTATCTACATAGCAGATTCTTCCAATACTTTTGTCTTCAATTTTATCTTATAAGCAGAGACAATCTGTATCTTAGCTCTCAACCACACGAGCATATGCTTTTGTTAACTACATGAATAACCATTTGCCAATGTAAAGGTCATCTGTTCATCTTCTCCCTTAGGAATAAAAAACACCAATACTACTACTTCAATGTCACTTTTCATCTTCAAAGCATGTTACTCACAGCGGGTAATTAATTCTCCAACACCCCAAGGAAGGCAAGTACTATTATTTCCACTGTATAAATAAGGAAACCAAAGAGGTGAGTTACGAGCCCAGGGAGGACGGCCTTTCGGAACTCGAACTCAGGCGACCCACTCCATCCAGTCCCCTCCTCGACGGAAGCCTCCTTGTAAAATGCAAAACGCCCCCCATCCCTGGTTCGCACAGATCCTCGGCTCACCTCAGGAGGTCTGAGAGGGCAAGGGCCTCTCGCTGCCACAGCAGCGACAGCGCGCAGAGGGCCAGCGTCCCGGGCACGGTCATCTTCACGGTCCCCTTCTCCTTCCGGAGCGAATACTCGACGCCATCCAGAGAGCCAGAGCACGCGGAGGACATATCTTAGGGGAGAAACGGAGATGTTTAAAAGTGCAACTAGCGCGGACAACCAAAGAAAAACAATAAAATCCAAAGAAGCACATTAGGTATGTTAAAATCAGGTTGTAACTGATAAAATCTTCATAAAGAGCAGTTTGGCAATAAAGCCGTGATAGTTTAAGAAGAAACTGGCCAGAAATGTCATTGTTGGTTCTTTGTGGGAGCTGAATGGCCTTGGATACTAAAAAGGGATTTGACCTGGTGAGTTTTGTTTCCAGTGAAGACGAACGCTTCTTCAAACCAATGAAAGGACACACAATCACAAAGCAAAGCAGCAGCGTGAAACTCCGTGGCCCAGGCCCCATCCCGCCTGTCCCCTCCGAGGGGCTCTGCAGGCGTGAGTTGGGCGGCACCATCTCGCAGCCCCAGCCTCCGCTGTGGCACTGGCTTGTCCTCGCTCACTCGCTCAACCCTTGCTCTCCTCGTTCTCGGTGCCACTCATCGAGGTCTGGGGAAATGACACCGGAGGGTGAGTCACCGCTCTCGGAACCCACATTCCAGTAATGGGGGACAGTCAATGAGCCAAAAAAACCGTACAACTGACAGACGGCAGCGTTACGTGGAAACAGGGCAACGTGGGGGTGTGCAAGGGCAGCAGCGGGGCGGGAAGGGGCAGGCGGCTAACACAGGTGCCCAGAAAAGCCGCTTAGGGAAGGTGGCGTCTGAGCAGACCCAAGCGGGTGCAGAGAGGCCTCGGGATCTCAGGGAGGCCCCATGCGCATCGGCAAGGCAGCCAGCGCGGGGAGTGCTTCACAGGGGCAGGAAAGCGGCCCACAGCACAGGGAGCGTGAGAAAGCAGTGTGTAAGGCTCCGCAGGCCCCAGTTTGCACTGCGGGCTTTATTCTGTGACAGGATGAGGAGAAGGTTCAGGGAGCTTAAAGTAGAGAGCACGGTGCTCCATTTCTGATTTCATGAGGTCCCGGTGGCTGCTGTAGGAAGGAAGGGTGGCGTCCTGGGGGGCAGAGTGGGCACAGGACAGCCGCACCCGGGGGTGGCGAGGGCGGCCCTGGCCTGGAGCGGCCCTGGCTTGGAGCATCCCTGCGGGTCTGAGCGCAGTGACGGAGTCCGAGGACTTCCCAAGGGACTGGATAGGGACAATGAGAGAGACAGGGAAGGGAAGTAGGTCTCGAAGGCTTCGGCCCGAGGAACAGGGAGAGAGATGCCATTTACCAAGAGGGGCTGGGCGAGATTAATCCAGGTATCGGAAGTGCACATGGTGAGTGCAACACGTTATTAAATATACAACCGGAAATGCTGAGTAGGTGACTGAATGTAAAGGCCCGTCGTTCAGGGGAAAGGCCGGGCTGGAGGCAGGCAGTGCAGGGTCACCGGGGCACAGGCGGCACTTAAAGCCCGGGGGAGGGCGCACGTGAGAACGCAGGGCCAGGAATGACCCTGAGGGACTCCAACAGAAACCTTTCCTAGACAAGCCCCTCCACGTTCAGGGATTCCTCAAAATCCCTGGCCCAAACCCCGCGGGCCCTTCCCAGACAGCATCTGTCGCCCACTGAGCTGTCCTCGTCCACATGTGCGCTGTGTCCAGCCCCGCCCGCTGCAATCTCAGTGCCTTGAAGGCAGACAGCCCGCCCGCCCGTGTGTCCCCAGCGCCCGGAACGGGCCTGGGCACAGAGCGGGAGCCCAATAAACACTTGGTGACAAACAGATCTCACAGTTGTGCTTCTAGGATTTTCATTCCTAGTGAAGTGATTTTTAAAACATGCGAAGATTCAGGGTCAAGGTGTGCTGTGGCAACCCTGCTTATTATTGGGGAAAATTAACCTCAGTGACAGGTTAGAAATTTAGTTAACTATCACCACACCGTGGAGAACTACATAACAACTTCCACAGGGTTTTATATGTATCTGTGGTTCTCAAAGCACCGTCCCTGGGCCAGCTGTGTTGGGATCCCCAGGAACTGACAAGAGCTGGACCCATCTGGGTTCTCTCTTTTTTAAAAAAATATTTTATTTATTCATTTCTAGAGAGAGGGAGAGGGAGGGAGAAAAAGAGGGAGAGAAGCATCAATGTGTGGTTGCTTCTCACACGCCCTCAGCTGGGGGCCTGGCCCACAACCCAGGCATGTGCCCTGACCGGGAACCGAACTGGCGACCCCTTGGTTCTCAGACCAGCGCTCAGCCCCTGAGCCACACAGGCCAGGATGCATCTGTGTTTCAACAAGCCCTGCAGGTGATCTGACGGATGCTGAAGTTTGAGGATGACTGTTTTCAAACATATATACACAAACACAGATTTCCATAAAATATTATGTTGAAGTATATATAAAAATATATACATATGTGTGTATATATGTATACATACAAATGCAGACCTTCCAGGTAACATGGCAGGTTGAAAACACACTTTAGTCTCTGCTCTGCCTCACTGCAATTACAAAGGTAATTTCAGAAGATATAAACCCAAGAACAAATAACACAGAAAAGGCGACAAGAGCAACGGAAGTGTGAGAGCTGGGAAGCACCCGGACAGGCCGCTCCGCCCTTGGCGGTCCCAAGAAAGCTGGACGCAGAGCGAGCGGCAGGGAGAGCCAGAACTGACCCATTCTGCCTTGGAGGCCTAGGCAGGCGGCCCAGGAGGCGGCGAGACGTGGCTCCCCTGCAGGCTGGACAAGAACAGCGGACCCCGGAGGAGCGCCTGAGCATCTGGTTAAGAAGCAGTTAGACACTCAGATTCCTGCCCCAGCTCCAAGCAGCCCAACGACTGCCCCTCCCCAGTCCTGGCAGGAAACTGGAAGTGTCTCCTCTAGAGAGACTAAAAGGGAGGTTCTCTGGTCCTGGCTGGACGTCTCAGCTGGTCAGCATTGTCTGGCGGGCTAAAGTTGCAGGTTGACCCCCCGTCAGGGCACATACAAGAATTGACCAATGAAGCTCTAATTATGTGGAACAACAAATCGATGTTTTTTTCCCCTCTCCCTGCCTCCCCACTTCTCTCTAAAATCAATCAATACATTTTTTTTTTTTTAAGGGTCTCTGGAACAGGGGTCCTTGGTCACATGCACTGTTGAGTCAGGGTATCTACTGAAAACAGGAGGCGGAAGTGAAAGTTCACAGACGGAGCAGCCTGAGACCACCCCACTCCGCCCAGGGCGATTCTTCTGCCCACTTCCCAGAACAGCCAGGATACACCCTCCAGCCAGAAGACTCACAGAGATTTCTCTGGAAAATCTGATCAGCTCCAGGGTAAAAAGATTCCAAGACAACAATGCTAGAGGCTCACTAAGAAAACAGCCCAGCTAGGCCTCTCTCCTGCGGAGCAGGGATGACAAGGCTCCCCATGGGGACAAAGTTTTAAATCAACGTTTTAGCCTCCACTAGTAAACAGGACTGGCCATCTTAGGCTCAGCAGACATTCGAAGCAGGCTTCTAATACAGTCACATGCCGCTTAAGAAGGGTGGCTCTGAGAAACTCATCCTCCTGTGACCGTCATCGAGTGTATTCACACAAACCCAGATGGCGGCTGAGCCCGCTACACACCTAGGGGCGCTGGGGGCAGGGGGAGGCGCCCACGGAGGGGGCTGACCTCGGGAGGAGGGAGAGAGGGGAGAGGGCATCCAGAGGGGAGAGAGGGCGGGCAAGATCAAAAGAGACCCAGGAAGACTGAAGTCTGAGACAACAAATAATGAAAGGGAGAGAGAGAAACGCAGGGAAGGGAAGGGAGCCTGCGTGCAGAGTGCACATGTGGGGTGGAGGGGGGGTCCCCCTCCCCCAACCCCTCCTCGCCTGCCTCCCAGCCCCTGGTCTCAGCCTCTGCTGGCGCAGGGCAAGGTGTGCTGGGCCGCCTCCTCCACTTAACCACCCAGAGCTAGACATCAGTTCAGGACCAGAGTTGGGTCCAGCCTTTCTTGTCAACACTGCAAACCTTTCACTTGCAATCCACTGCAATTTTATGGGCCCGCGATGTACACACAGTCCCCCGTTCATCCAAATGTTACTATGCAGCACATGACCGTATTAAAAGTAGAGATCAAAACAGTCAAATCAGGAGGGAGGATTGGATTCTTGTCCTCAGCAAAACAAGAAGCGTCACAAAAGTGAGGAAGTAAACAGAAAAGGAGATGAAGTGGGATCAAGGACACAGGGATTGACAACGGGAGAGGCGACAGAACGGTCCGGAGAGGCCACAGACAGCCGGTCGCAGGCCCAGAGAGCCCCAGCCTAGGCCGGAGCAGGCAGGGACGCTGTCTTCCAGAAGGTGAAACTGCAGGACACCTAAGGCATTGAGAGATTCTTTCAGAAATTGGGGGGGGTGGGAGGGGGTTGCGTTCTGTTAGTAATTAATTACAGAATAGTAGCAAATAAATAGAAAACTAAACAAAGAAAAAATGACCACCTACACTAGAAAAACCAAAGGGTATATAGAAAATATAACATGGTAAGTTCTGTGACTCAGTCCTTATAATAATTTAGGCACTAAATACTGATCTAGTAAAAATTATAATTATACTGGGAAGACACAGGATGAAACATGCAAAACTGTGTGCTGGTGACTCGTGGGAGGAGGGCCTGGGGCTCGGTGGAGGAGCGAGACCTCGCCTCCCACGGGGAGCTCGCCGGCCAAGGGCCCCCACGGGAAGCGCAGAGCCCGAGCTCGGCAGCAGCAGGACCGACGAGGGGGCCTCTGGCAGACGGGCCGTTCAGGGAGAACAGCGGACGACAGTTTCTTTATTTTTATAACTTTTTTATAACAAACCTTATAAATATATTTGAATTACATGCATGTAGAATTTGGATTTAAAAATGTAATGAAGGAAGAAATAGTTCACTTTTTTGGCAAAAAAAAAAATAACACAACTCCCTTTCTCTCCATTGATGAAGTAGGAACTTTCTGGAATGACTCCGGCAGAGGCAGCGGTTGTCTGTGGGTGGTACAAGGGCAGCCGATTTTATTTCCTTCGTGACTATCTGTATTTTATAGCTTTGCAAAAGGAGTTACATTAATTGTTACTTTTAATGGAAAAACTAAAATAAAGCTCTGAGGACACAGCTTGGTATAAAGCGCACAAAAACTACACCTAGGTGACCCGTCAACCCATCACGACGCTTTAAAGGCCCAATGGTTTCGGAGCTGCAGCCCCCAGGGACAGTGTGGGGTCAGGCTCGCCGGAAGCACAGAGAGGGAGCTCCAGAGAGTCACTGCTGCCCACTTAGGCTGCGAGTCGTTCTTTAGTTTTTTGGACAGAAAAGTAATTCATCTGATTCTGTGCCACAGTGCAGTCTAGCAAGACATGCAGATATGCTGTTAAAAGCGTATTTTCATCTTTGAAAGGCAAGGGGCTTGCAAAGGAGTCCATACAAGAAGTATTTTGTTGAAAATGTTATAGAACCACACTTAACCCAGATTTTAACAAAGTCTAGCCCCAGAGGGTGGGGAAGCCACCTCCCGGGGAACTCTGTCAGCACACGTCCGACACTAGCGCTCCGGCACGAAGCCGCGTCTGTCTTTTGGGGTCTGTTTTCCATCATGTTGTTTTTTAACTGAAGTTCGGAAACAACTAAAATCATCGATAGTTGCCTTGGGAAGGTCTGTATCTATACCTTCAATAGAATCGTTATCTATTTCAAGTTATGGAACTAAATCAGAAAATAAGACACACGGACACACATGTAACATGGTTTTATTCAGCTTGCTCCGGTCTATGCTGAGAAACCGGGCAGATCGCCTTCGACTCCCGCCTGCCTTTTACCGCGTGGCCGAGTCCCATGGCCTCTCTGCTGCAGCTTTCCTTCCGCGAGCCCGCGCCCGCACACATACCGTGTATGGTCCTCACTGGGTTGGCCTCCTCCCTTCTGGATCAACTTACTGTTCGCTCCCTTTAAACATCACACGAAAACGTGCACGTAGAGACAACGTACCCTCTTAGAAATCACACCAAGGTTTTGCTTAATTTACCTTTCCCTTGGCCATATGATTTTATTAGGCCAGCTTCCTTTCCTTGGGACACAAAGGGACTGGACGACATTATTTCTAAGGTGCATTACCAAGGTGCATTTCTAAGGGGCATTACCAGCTCTCAAGTTCCAGGCGGGCCGAGCCTCCTCTTTACCTGACTGTGATGCTCTGCCGGTGGGGAAAGGCTTCCGAGCGCGGACATCAGGCTGAGACTCCGCCGCACTGCCGGCGATGGAGGGGCAGCTGAAGTCGCTGAGCAGCTCAGGCTCACTGTCCCAGTCTGAATGACTTGGATTGTCTTCCAAGGCCTATTTGCAAAATAATATAAACAAAGTTACTGCAGAGGAATTTAAAACCGCAATTCACTTTCATGAACTCAAACGTTCCTGGCCGTCACAAACGCCATCCACTCGAGACCTCTGCCCTGTCTGCCGGGCGGACCCCTCAGCCCCAAGGCCGGCACCTAGGCCGGGCCCCGGGGCAGCTCCCCCAGCACCACTGAGAGAAGAGCCGCGATGACGGGGTGAGGGTGGACACCCAGGCTTCCTTCCCCCTGGATGACCGCCTCTCCTGTCGCTCCAGCATCTACACCTACAGAAGCACCGCGCCAACGCCGCCTCCACGCACCCTGTCCACCCCTCTCTCCTGAGTCCACCTGCTCCTGTGCTGTGCGTCTTTGCCAACCCTCGTCTGCTGCCTGGGCCGCCCTTCCCGCTGCTCCTCTCTGCTCTCCATTGACGCTGTCACCCCGCCTTTCCAGCGGCTCTGCTTCGGAGATGGCTCATCTTTTAACTCCTGTGGCACTTACTGCTTAAAACACTTAATTGACAAGGGTATTCGATCTCGTACCCTTGTTTAATTCTTCACACATGTATCAGGGGGATGAAAAAAAAAACCCACACCGGAATCTATTAAAAGTTGTGTATTTATTCTTGATTGTTTAAACTTCACCTTCCAAGTCCTCTCCATGTGATGCAATACATCTATCGAGCTGTTTTCCCTACTGCTCAGAACAGTGTATGAACACATCGGTTCTGATGCCTTTTAGTGCTCCTGCTGTTTTTTGTTTCACTTCTTCCACATCAGCAAAGCATTTCCCTTTGAGGACTTTTTTCATCCAGGGAAACTACAAAAAAAAAGTTGCTCAGGGCAATATCAGGTGACTAGGGAGGGTAGGGCACAGGGGTTCCACCGTTTTTGGTCAGAACTGCTGAACACGCAGCACAGTGTGGGCAGGTGCACCTAAATCATCCACCATGAAATGGGCAAATGCATTGAAAGAGTCAAAAACAATTCACTGAAGGTGAACACAGCCTCTCACAATGACGCCACCTGGTGCACCGTTACAGATGCATCTCCCCCCATTGTTGAAATGCTGGGGAACGTGTCCCTAAGAAAGGTGGGCTAGTAGCCGACCTGAAGGCCTCACAAGCCAACATGAATCTTGGAGGACTCGATCACAGGAAAGAAGCCCTGCCCTCAGCCTTGCAGGCCGCAAACCTGGATCTTAATGAGAAGAGGCAAGACTCATGGTAAGAAGACTTGCAAGAGGCCTGGCTGGTGCGGCTCAGTGGGTCAAGCGTCAGCCTGTGAACCGAAAGGTCACCGGTTCAATTCCTGTTCAGGGCACATGCCTGGGTCACGGGCCAGATCATCGGTTTGGGGCGCATGAGAGGTAACTGATGGATGTTTCTATCCTTCTCTTTCTCCCTCCCCTGTCTCTAAAAAATAAATACAATCTTAATGGCAAACTCACAAGAAGGGGCCACTGGTAAGCACACCCACACATCGCCCTTTACAGGCTGGCACCTGAGATGCAAGGTGCACGGGCCAGTGCAGGTGAGCGCAGCCTGGCCGGGAAGGCGCGTCGGAAGGACACGTCCACAGGCCCATGCAGGTGCATGTCTGCCTCGCCTGGTGCTCCCTGGTGCTCCCGTCTGAGCCAGTTTCTTCCTCTGTGCCGGCAACACCTCCTCCTTTGCAGCAGGGTGCCCAGACGGGGCTGTGCAGGGCCGCGGCCCCCACTGCCTCTGCCCCCACTGCCTCTGCCCCCCGTCGACCTTAAAGCTCCCTCCCAAGAAAGCTGGGTCCCTCCGTTCCAGCCATCGACTTCTCGCTCGTCCTCGTGACCGGGGCAGCATTTCTCAAGCTGCTCGCTCCCCTTCCTGAACTGCTTTGTTCCGTGCGCTCCAGATGACCCCCACAGGCGCTCCGTCTTCCTCCTGGGCCAACAGCTGTTCCTCAGACTTCTTTGCAGGTGCCCTGGGTACCCCAGTCATCTTCCCCCTAGACCGGCCCAGAGCTCGGTCCCTGGACTTCTCCGTCTTCACTTCTCTGCCATGCCATCCGGTCTTGCAGTTTTCATATTGTCTACTGCACTGTTTTCAAGTCCGCAGGGACGGCGCCTCCGGCAAACGATGGCATTATGGGGTGGGAGAGGGTGCTAAGGCCTGCGGCCTCCAAGCATGTGCTTCCTGCCCAGCCCCGCCCCTGCACTGCGGGCTTGGGTGTCTAGTTAGTGCCTGACGGCTCCTCTTGGATGTGCGGGCCCTCTCACGCTTCACCGTCCCCGGCTGGACCGCCGACCCTCCCGTCCCACCTGTTATCTCGGTGATGGCCACGCCTTCCTCAGCTGCTCAGATGGCCAGCTGCTCAGGCCCAAATCCCTAAGAGTCACCCTTGGTGACTCCTCTCTCTGTCTCTCACACCCTGCGTCCCATCCATCTGGAAATTCTGGTGGCTCTATGCAGAGGTGACCTAGAATCCTACCCGTTCTCACCTCCATGCTGACCGCCAGGCCCAGCGACTATCACTCTCACCTGGCGCGCGCAGAAAGCCCCCAGGAGCTGGGCTAAGACGTGGGCTCTGGCGCGGTGGCCCTGGGCCCGACCCGAAGCTCTGCAGGCCGGCTGGGCTCCCTCACCCACCTCCTCAAGACCCTGCCCAGGGGCGCCTCCCCCGCCCACTCCATGTCAAAGAGCGCCCTTCACTGCCTCCCCATCTTCTCATCCCTCACCCTGATTTATGTACTAGCTTGTTTGTTTGCTTTTTATGTTAAGTTTTAAGTAATTTATTTTATCCAAGATCACACAAGCAGTCAAAAGCAGTGGAGCCAGGCCCTGGTGGGTGGCTCAGTTGAGTGGAACGTTGTCCCAAAGACCAAAGTCTTGGGTTTGGCCCTGTCAGGGCGCACACCTAGGCTGTGGGTTCAAGCCTAATCAGGGTGTGTACCCAGGTCATGGGTTCGATCCCCAGTTGGGGTAGGTACAAGAGGCAACAAGTCAATGTTTCTCTATCATATCGATGTTTTTCTCTATCTCCCTTCCTCTCGCTCTGAAATCAATAAACGTATCCTTGGGTAAAGATTTAAAAAAATTTTTTTTAAGTAGTAGAGCCAGGTTTCAGATGCAGACCTCTTACCTTTCTTAAAACAGTTATATTCAAAGCAAGAAAATATTTACTGAATATTTGAGACTAAGCTTCTAATTTAAAAGTACTTGTTCTTTTTTCCTTCTAAAATAAGAGTATAGCTGTACTCTTTTGATAGAAATTATATTACCAATTCCTTATCAGCTTAAAATGTTGCTTATTACTTATTCACCAACAAGATTTCAGTGTGATGCTAACATTATTTGGGTGGGTATTTACTTAAGTCAACAAAACCTTTTTTAGTATCTTAAGCTAACTTAAAAATATTAAAATCTCAATCTCAGAGGAAATCCCAGGTTCTGATTCAAATTTTCTACATGCCAGGCAGAACCCCAGTGCACGCATGTAACCAGCAAACACCGCAGCTGTTTGATTTTCAGCATCAGGTTCTTGACGGCTGGGATGCTCCTGTCCTTTTCCTCGGTCGGAGGCCACCTTAGAACCCCTCAGCATCGTCTTTCCTTGAGAAGTTCCTGCCTCCCGAACCAGGGACAGTATTCCATAACTCTGTGATTATAGAGTGTTGTCTTTCCCACTAAATTCAAGCCCTTTCTCTGCGGTTGACTGAAATGCATCACCTCACATTTTAAAGGGGCCCCGACACTAACGCCGTAGGACCCTCACACTTGCGTCACTGTGTCTGGTGGAACTTGGCTGCTCTCAAACTTCCCAAGTTTAGACCCGCTCCCCTCACCCAGGCCTGGTTCCTCGGTCCCGAGTCGCTAAACTCTGCAGGTGGAACCTCCGCATCCCCAACCAAACACGGAAACACGGGGCCATGTTTCCACGCCCTCAGCACAGAGTGTCAAGTCAATTCGGAATCTCTCATCAGCCCTGGAGAAGGAGCGTCCCACATCAAACACGTCGACGTTTATCAAACCTGCCTTTCTTAGCGGTGGGCTCCTCCCCCATCCCAAGTAAGATGGACCATGTCACATTTAGAAAGCAGTGAAAAGCAAACCGCTAAAAACATAGCTGCTCTGAGGGTTTGGTGGGGGGGAGTGTGCGTTGTGAGGCGCCAAGATTTATTTTTCTTCACACACAGGCTTCTGAGAAGAGATGGTAAGCGAGCTGAATCTTGAAATGTCAAGTAGGTAGGTATTCCAAGCAAAAGGGAAAACAGTACCATTACAGAAACTCCTTAAGCTTCTGTTTAGAACATAACCATACATTTCTCTGTTTCCACCACTTATGAATTCCACGTCTAGATGGGGACACGTCCCGCTGGACTACGACAGAGAGCCCCTCACTGAACACTCGGACGGGCACCACGGACGCAGGCGAGGCTGCCCGCCCCCCGCCCGCACGGGACTCACCGCCGCTGTCCTCCTGCGGGCGCGAACCGGGTTCCTGCAGTACGCCTGCTTGCTCTTCTGCAGGTAGCGCCGCCAAAGGTTGTGCAGAACTTGACCCTGAGGCGTAAGGGAAACATGTGGCCACTCAGGCTGGCACGTGTCAGCCACAGAACCCCCCGTGCTGTGCGTCCGCCCTCCACCCACGTGCGTTCACGCCCTCCTTCCTGAGCCAGCGGTCACCGGACGCACTGTCATGCGCACGCCTCTGGTGGTGCATGTTTGCGTGCTTTCAATCCCTGTAACGCCATGCCCTGCCCTGCCCCACCAGGCCATACTATACCATGCATGCCGTGAGGCCCAGCATCCCCTTTGGCCATGCAGGGTCTAGTGCTCATTCCGTCTCAGCCTGAACAGCAAAGGCCCCACAAATCTTTCCTTGGCCACTTCAGTCCACCTTGATCTCCCTCCCCGCTCTTTCTGCCCTTAATGTCACTTACGAACATACCATCACATGACTTTGTGTGTATTCACTCCCCAATACCGAAGCCCCTCCCCCCAGCGAGGCTGGTCTCTTAGCACTTGGTTTCCAATGATGGGCATGAGGCAAGTGTACAATAACCATTGCTGCTAAATAACTGGTTTTGAACGGATTCTTGAAATGCCTTCAACTAGATGAGGAAATACGAAACTCAAATTACAGCAGGGATGCTCCTGAGGGGCAACGAAGTCCAAGCATGGCCCCCAGACGAGCAGGAAGAGGGTCACCTGGGCACCTGTTGGACATGCAAATTCTTGGGCCCTGCTTGAGACCCACTGAGTCAGAAACTCTGGAACGGGCTCCCGCAATCTCTGTTCTCACAAGCCCTCGGTGTGACCCCGACACAAAATCAAGTGTGAGAGCCACTGTTTCAACGGGTCGCTCCCCAAAGTGCACCCTGGAGCCCAAGTCCTGACGGACGCTACACCCACCGAGGGCTTCTCTCCTGCAGCCGCGACTGCGCTAGCTGAACAGGCGCGTTGACACAGCAAAGGCTCCGGTGAGGCTGCCCAGGGGCTTGCTTTACTTATTTAAGCCCATGTCTCCTGGATATCTGATGACTGAAGCCTTTTTATTTTTAGATATATAGCTTATTTACATCCTATAGAACTCACTCTGGGAGTTGGAGTAAAGCAAAAATATCAGAAAAATGATTCTTTCAATAGCCCTAGTGTTATGACTGATGACTCTACTTTTCTCCTTAGTTTGCCTCTCAATCTTACTGTTCTCCAAGCAAGAAAACGTAAGTCTAACATCTAGACACCAATGGACTCACCTTTAATTCTGGGCTCACTCCAAGGGTCTTTAAGGCTTCTGCTTGTTGGTAAAGTATGTGCTGAAAACCTTCGCACACATACCAGTCCCAGCCTTTCTCTAAATGACGAAGAACATGTTTCAGACATCTGCATTCCTGGCTTACGCACCGTACGCAATGACGCAGTTACAGTCGTGTCTTAGGCATAGCGACTGGAATTGTTTTGTATCCCTGAATAGGGTTTCCATTCTTATATCCTCGTTTGCAATGTGGCAAATTTGTACACAAATGCTAAAGCTAAACATTATGTTTCTAATTAATCAGATTTTTTATTTTAAATGATCATTTTTCTGAAATATTAATGTAGAAAGCAGAAAAATAAAGTCACCACGTTAAAAAAAGATAAGTTTTCAAAATGCACACTGTCTGAGCGGCGCCCGGCAGGATTCTGAACGGGGGCGCTCTCAGCGCCCCGCCGCCGCCGCTCCGACTCACAGAGCCAGGGGACGGTGAGCGGAAACAAAAGCGGATGAACAAAAGCCAGGAGGTGGTGGTCCAGCGCCCCGGAGAGGGCAGAAAGGAGATGCCAAAACAAAGCCCTCGGTGCCACTCTGCTTTTCTCAAGACGGCTCTAGGTCACAGGGAGAAAGCGACAGGAAGCAGCACACTCACGGGGCTGTGCCTGCGTCAGGCGGTGTGGGGTACCGTAAACAGGCTGCCTCAGTCAACCCCCAAAGGCACCCTGAGAGACCGGGAAGCAATCTGCCGCCGCGGCAGATGGACCTACACGGTTACACAGAACTGCCCATTAAAGACAGTGCAAAAGTCCGTTTAGATCCCTGTGTTTCACCCCTCCCTGAGGGACAGAGGCTGTGCTTCTTGGAAAGGTTATCAGCCTTTTCACACTCAGCTTCCGAAGCCTCTTGCTGTGACTCCAACAGGCCCTTTCCCAGTGGAACGTCACAGGGCCGCGACCACCCCCGACCTGTGCCACACAGGGTGCCCGCGCTCCAGCTGACCAACCCAGTCTCTGGGGAGGGCCCCAGGTTGTCCACAGCTAACGGGAAGCCTGTGACTGTGATGCGCCCCTCAAGGTGAAGGTGAGGGGGTTCAGCTCTTTGGCCTACGCGTGTGCCCTCCTCCCTGCACACCGCTCTTCCTGTGCTAACTTCGGGGTCTGGGCTCCTATTTCACAGAACAATGGTATTACCATGTTCACTTCACCAATGAAGAAACTAAGGTCAAAGAGGTTGAATATAAGACACTTGACATCTCATCTGAAGCACCTGAAGTTCCTGTGGCAATTTAAGTTTAAACTATACATTTAAATTATGTACATAGGCCAAGTCCATGTTAATCAGGTGTCACCGTGATAAAATTTAATTAAAATCGGTCAGGTTTTAGCATAATAAAAACCGGCACTCTTCAAGGTGGAACGGGAACACAAGTCAGCATTTCGGCATTCTCTCTGTCATGCACCTGCGAGTGTCAGCGTGTCCCAGCTCACCGACGTCTGTGCACATTTATTCCAGGCGTGTCCTCAAAGCTCCTCCCGCAGAAGGAGCCGACAGTATTAGCCCGGCTTCAAACCTGGGAGGCCGGTGCTAGGAATTAGCCACCGAAGTAAAAAGCACCAGATGGGCCCGACCTCGGGCTCTGCTCAGGGGCAGCTCGCTGCCTGCACTCGCGGGGCGAGAGGCACAGATCACCTTTCAAACACACCCGCCTTGCCCACACCGAGGCAAAATAATCATCCCCACTTTAAAAGGGCGTGTTCAAAATTCATGGTGAGAAATGGATTTCTCAAAGTGGAATATCAGGTTCAGCTCGCCTAACCTGACAATTCTAGCTGAATCATTTCAGAAAATAAGCATTTTCCTTTAAAGGATGGAAAATCATATTCATAATAGATGATAAATATAGAACAGAAAAATATATGCCAACAGATGAAGAAATACACTCCTTTTGTTATCTTTTTTTTTTTTAATAGTAGTTGTTCCACTGGAAAAGCAACTTGACAATGTGAGGATGAAAAAGGACCTGCTTGAAGACATTTGCCTCCAATTTTACATCGATAATTACGTGCTTTAATTCCACTCTGTATTATCTGATTAGAATTCTGGCAACTTCTATAGAATCTGTTTAATATGCCATTCCACATCCTCAACCCATGAAGGTGAAAACCATGACTGAAGAATGCTAAACACCTATGAAGAGCGAGCTTACCGAGCTTTTTTTTTCTTTTAAGTCCCCGGTTGATGGCTTGTATTTTAGTATTAGGAATAGTCTCAGTGTTTAAAACTTCCTTAGATCTCTGCAGAAAACAGAAATGTATCATTAAAAAGATAGCTTTACATCTCCCTAAAGCATGTTCTGGAAGTATAATGAACCAAACTCTGAGTGCCAGAATCAATAATGGTAACATTTTGGGAAAATTATAGAAATCCGAACATTCTGATGCATGTTTTTCTTATTTTCTCATTCAGAATTAATCAGTACCTAAAACAGTACCTGGAATATAGTAAACACTGAATAAATGTCTATCAAATGAATAAACTTTTATTTCAAATCACTTTTTAACTGTTTCAGATGAAACCTAAAGTCAAATATATTTACTTCTTTCTGTACTCAAAACACACTTTGCATTAAAATAATTTCTCTATTTATTGTATTCAGCAATGCCTAAGCCACACGTCCACTTCTCTGTGTTTGAATAATGCTCTAAAACAGTTTTATTTATGAAATTATAAAAGCACTACCTTTTATTTTAATCACATTTATAGAATTTTGTAAAGACTAAATGGTGACTACAATTCATCCCGAAGTCTCCAATTCCAAGTGCTCTCAGGGGTGGTACCTAAGATTCTGGCAGTCTCTCTCTCTCTCTCTCTCTCTCTCTCTCTCTCTTACACACACACACACACACACAAATATTGAGTCTTTTTAAAAAATTTTATAAATGTCTTTGATTGTACACATATTTCCCCTTATTGTTACATCAATAATATTATTTACAAATGAGTCATATTTTACAAATAAGAACACAATGGCAAATCCACACTGTAATTCAGGTTTTCTAACAGCAGGTCTGGTGACCTGTCCACTTTTTTACTAACGCTGAAATTAAAATTTAGCCATTACTATATAATTATATAACCCTAATAATTGTAATCTAAATTCTATCCTAAAAATTGAGCTCCTTAATACTCTTAATATTCTTTTAAACAATGTAAAAATATAGAAACACGATTAAGTATATATTTTCCTTTAAATATAGCTCCTACTTCAGCAGTACTTGCAGGTGAAGTTATTTTCTTCCATGTAATCACTACTTCATATCTTTGTTTAGTACCTTTAAATAGTATGTTGGCACTTAACCTTAGAAATGATTTTATGTGCAAATAATAGACAGTCTACCCATAAACCTGATTTCCCAAAAGCAATTAGCTCTTTAAAAGAAAACCACACAAAAAAATTTTAAAGGCACTGGATTCCTCTTCTACACTGTGACTGAGCTGGAAAAATAAGCTTGTTCTCAGGAATGTCAAGTTAGAACCGCCTCCGAAGTGGCATTTCTAGAGCAGAGGACCACGTTAGGAACAGACTACTTGGCTCTGACCCCAGCATCCGCCGCTGCCCAGCCAAACAGTAAAACCAGCTCAAAATAGCCCAAGAGAGCTGGGCTTCAAATAGGAGGCCATTACGTTCTTCTAAGATGTTAATAAACCAAAACAAAAAATACTGAAGTAACAACAAAAGACATTAGTATCTGATACTAATTTTCATTCAGGTTGTTAATTCCTTATCATATTCCCCTTTCTATAACATTAGTAAGGGAATGTTTTTACTACAAAGAAACTGTTACCTGATACATCCCTAGCCCTGAAACGCTGGCTTTAGTTATCAGCGCTGCCAGGCACCATTATCCAAGCGGCATGACCGCTTCACGTCTACTCTTCACCTCTGCATTTCCAAAATTTTCATGATTTAACACTGAGATATACTCTAGCATCCATAATACCTGATGTTTTGCAAAGAGCAATGTAGAAGAAATATATTTTTAGAAACCTTTTCATTTGAATCACCTTATGTCAAAAGTACATCAATAATTTAGATGTTCTACATCTCTAGAGGAGATGCTTTTTAAAGATTTTATTTACTTTTGGAGAAGAGGGGGGAAGGAGGGAGAAAGAGGAGGAGAGAAACCTCCCAGGCTAAAGGAGGTCCTTCCAACGCACTCATAGAAACGGTGAGACAGTAAGATGGTCAGAGACAGCTTCCATGCCCACATCCTGCTGTGGTTTCTGAAGCATTTTGCTTTCCAGAGTTTTCTTTTGCATGCAAAGGGGCCCAGAGTGAGAACAATGTTTTGCTTAGCACCTCTGATGTCTTGAACTTTCTGTAGTTATTTGCTTTTCTTCAACCTGTTTACTACAAATCTAGCTTGGTGTTTCTGTTTGGCACCTTTGACTGTCTTCACTGCATCAACAGCTTTATTCCACAGCTCTAGCTGGTGTGTGATGCGCTCATTTCTAGGTGTTTTTCAAATTCGAATGGATCACCCACGTAAGCTCTTTATCAGCTGTTTTGCAGAATGCTTTAATCCACTTGACCTTGCAAGGACTGCACTTCTTTTTAAAGTTTTTATGGCACTTGGGTTTGAAGAATCGGAACGACTTGCAATCATCACAGATGAACATCAAGCCGAGGCTGGGCCACGCGGGCCCTGGACAGAAATGACACTTCCAGATGTGCGGTCAGACTAGCACAGCGACCCAGCAGCAGGGAACATCTGTATGTTCCTCTTAATTTAGAGATTTAAGTGTCCACAAAAGTTTAGAACGAACATCCTTAATTTATCAAGACAGAAGATTCAGTAACACTCGCTGACATCCCCTTTCCCTTCCCATACGTTAAAAAAAAAGAGAGGAAGAGACTAAATGGGAAGCATTGAAATGTTGTGTGTTGAGATTATTGGTGATTTTAACTTTCATCTTCATAATTTCCAAATTTTCTACAACGAAGTTGCTCTTATAATCATAAAAATCTATTAAACTCACACGGTTCTAGCCTGTACCTTTATTAAATACACATAAAATACTTGCAAGACTACGTCACACAAACTGGACATACTTAAGCCCCGAGAAAGTTTTTCCGAATAAAAGGCACCACAAGAAACTTTTCACTCCGTTCCCATTCAGAAGGCCCCTCCCAGACAGCGTCCGGGGCTCGAGACTAAAACCCAGGGTAGATGGAGGGCAGTGAAAGGGGCAGGGAAGCGGAGAGTTGCGCCGCAACCGCCACCCTTTGTGGGGGGGGGACAGCCGTCTTGTGAACCATCCCCGCCCACCGGATTTCAGCGCCTCCACTCCCGCGGGACACCCCGGGCAGCACCTGTCACACAGCGCACTCCACAAAGACCGTGCCGGGGGCCGGGAACCCAGAGGCACCACTGAGGCTGGACAACACGCAGTTTGCCTATCACATGGGAGGCACCGAGTGAAGAGCTTGGCCTGTATAAATATTTTGCTTACTTTCAAGAATGCTACATTCTTGCCCTAACAAGTGTGCCTCAGTTGGTTAGACCATCATCCCACAAATTGGAAGTTTGCTGGTTCAATTCCCAGCCAGGGCACATGCCTGGGTTGTGGGTTCAGTCCCCACTTGGGGCACGTACTGAAGGCAATCAATCGATGCTTCTCTCACACACTGATGTTTCTCTCTCTTTCTCCCTTCTTTCCCCTCTCTCTAAAAAGAAATAAAAATATCTTAAAAAAAAAAAAAGGATGCTATATTCTTGACAAGTTATTCCATTCAGGTTGATAGTCTTTCAAATGTGGAACCAGGTAGTGTTATTAGGATCTTTCAAGTTACAAAAATTGGCCCTGGCTGGTGTGACTCAGTGGATCAAGTGCCAGCCTGTGAACCGGGGGTGTCTCTGGTTCGATTCCTGGTCGGGGCACATGCCTGGGTTGCAGGCTGGGCCCCTGCTTGGGGCATGCAGGCAACTGATCGATGTATCTCTTGTGTTTCCTCTCCCTCTTTTCCTCCCTCCCTTCCCCTCTCCCTAAATAAATAAAATAGTTTTAAAAAATGACTGTAGCAGATTTTATCAGACAGAAACAAATGAAAATGTTATCAAAGACAGAAAAGAAGCAGTTAGTTAACAGCCTAATTTCTACAAAAACAGCATCTGACCTCATCTGTTAATGCGTTAAAGGCAAGCAGTCCGGGTACACACTGGGCACCCGTTCACGGCTGTGCGGGCGCAGGGCACGTGAGACGCGGAGAGGGGCGAGTGGCACGTGATTGTGGAGGAAAACCATTTGCGGGGCGGAGGGGGTGTCCAAAACCATCACGACGGTCAAGACAATGAACACGTCCATTGCCCCAACATGTCATCAGAGGAGCACTTATCTTTTAAATAGTCCATGTGACTAAGTGGAAGGAGACCCAAGAAACTGCCACTGCAGAGGGCAGAGCAATGATTGTTTCATGGAAAAGCTCACGTGTGATTGAGCGGCAAGCTAAACTAACTACTTTTTTCAAAGGAAAAAAAAAATTTTTTTTTTAGTTGTTTGATATATTTTTTTCCAGGTTTTCAGTTGTTTAGGGTGGGAAGGTAAATCTGAACCTAATACTCCATCTTGGCCAGAAGCACACATCTACAGTTACTTTTATCTGTCCCAAATGCACTTTCTTAAGCCGATGTGGTGAAGGTGGTAGCAGCTCCTTCCTGGCTCTGCAAACTTTTGAGCAAATCCTTTTGCAGAGAGAAGTGTCCTGGCATTTTTCGACTGTCCAACAGCAGGCTGTCCACACCCTTGGTTACTTGGGTCGTGCTGCCCTGACGGTATGTGGCTGGGGCAGGGCCGAGTGCTCCCAGTGTAAAGGGAGCCTCATTCACCAAGGCCATGCAGGACACTACGACAATCTCTATTTCAGGAGGCAGCTGTGCTGGGGTAAAGCGAACACTGGGGTCAGAGGACTCAGGTTCAAGTCCTGGCTCAAAGAAACACTTCATACTTGTGTCTTTGGCACGCTCACTCGCCTGGTGAGCCCTCCTCGCCCCATCTACAGGTGGGGACAATAGCATACCTCACAGGTTGTTACGAGGAGGAAATCAAATAACAGGCAAGAAAACGTTGGCAATTTGTAAGGTACTGTAAAAAATAAAATAATAATAAAGCGTATTTCCAATACTCCCAACAATCCTCAATCTTGCTAACGTTTCATCTTCTAAACCACTAAGCTACCACAACACATTAAAAACTCATAAGTGTAACTAATAAAATGAAATGCATCATCTTCTAAGTACAATTTTAATTATCTCCCCTTAGACTACACAGTCAGAATCAGGAAATCGTTTATCTATACGGCTCAACATAATTGCAAGAACTCACCCTAAATTTGATTTACAAATTCCTTCATCTCTTTAGCCCTCGAAGACCACTTACATCCTTGGAATTTGGGTATTGCAAGGCTGATAAAAATAGATCAATTCTTCACCACATATCCGGTTGACAGTGCAATTTTAAAGAAATAAGCAAATTCATAGATGACATCTGTTACTTACTTCTGTGACATTGTGGCAAGAAGTACAATAATATTTGCCTTCATCAGTAAGACCCCAGGACACAGCATCACACTGAGTACAGCGTTCTCTGAACTCTTTCTGCAGAAGAGGAAAACCACGTTTAGTACAGTGCGCCTAAACCCTGCAGTTCTACAGGATGGTTACCTGCAGTTTTACCCTGACAATTTGTTCAAAATCATAGAAAATAGAAAATATATGAGATTATCTATAAGTGAGAATAGCAGTACAGTTTCTTGAGCAGTTTGAAATGGAATTAGCCTATTAAGCAAAAGTTTCTAAAATATGCAATGTGTGATGGAAAATAATGAAGAAAAGGTAGTAGGGATAAAATAGAAAAAGAAAAAAAAGAGGAGTAGAAAAACTCCTTGAAAATGCTGTGATGAAAAAAGGTGACGCGATTTCAGTACGGAGAAGACTTAAAACATAGAAACAGCATGCCATCCACGTGACACTTCTTCCCGGACGCTAAAGACAGACTCACTGCAAAGAAGCCAGCTTTTCATTACAGCTGTTTCAAGTTCCGATTTACTCATTCAGCAAAATAGAGTATCAACTCTCTTATGTACTAGCGCTTAACTAGGCGATGAGGATTCAACGGAGAGCAAAACAGGCAGGATCCCTCCTGAGGGCAGGTACAGGCTAAGGGCGAGTTCTAACGGCCAGTGTCCTCACCCAGCATCACAGACGACACCCGTCTATCACTGCATCAACACCTATCCAGCGTCTACAGTGAGCGCGACCTCCTCGTTCCATACACACCTAGACTCACTAAATCAGTGCCCAGCTCTTTACCGTTGATCTAATTACAGAATACCCGAATACCATCAAAGAGTGCGGCACTGTATGCAGTATGTCAAAAAGGAACGTCAAATTTATTTTGGCAAGCTGGCCCAGTGTTCATTAACGTTGTATTGGCAACTGTCATTACGTGGAGCGTCCCCAAGCCCCCGTCTGGATTCCCAGGGAGACCGGCCGGGGTTACTTGGGGGCATTCTGGTTCCAACCCGGGCCTTCCCTCGCCCACCCCAGCATCCAAGGGAACTTTCGGGGGGCCCGGTCCAGAGAGGATGAGCCACGTGGGTGGACACACCGACCAAATCCACAACTCCACCCTCCTCCTGAAGCACAGCCTGAGGGGCTGTCACTCCAGCCTCCCCTCACCCACACCCTCATCGGGCCAGAAACTCTGGCCTCTTTCCCCAGAACGCCCGCTCACACGCCCACTCACCGCCTCCTCCAGGTCCATGACGACGCTACTGCCGTCTACGCCCCGGGGCCCGTTACCCGGGCAGCGAGCGCAGCTTCCGGGAGCGGCGGCAGCAGCCTTCCGGGCGGAAACCGACACCCTGGCTTTGGGTTCCGGGCCCGTGCGGCCGTCGGGGAGCATCCGTTCGCTCCCGGCCGAGGCTCGCAAACCCTGCGTCCTCTGCCCGGACAGCATCCTTTCCCAAGTCAAGCAATCTAAGCACCAGTAAGAAGGTGGGCCGTGCCGGACATCGAGCTGATCCCATCACGCTGTGTTCTGAGCGCCGTTAATTCCGAGACCCGCCTCCTGATTCAGGCTGAGGGCGAGCTCTCCGCTCCGTACCGGCTTTTAATAGCCCAGGAAGGGCCCGGGGTTCCGGGGAAATAATGCGGGTTGCGGGGTTAGACCTGGTATTCTAATCACGGCTCTTCTCCTTCCTTGTGCCTCAGTTTCCTCCTCTGTAAAAGTTAGCTATTGCCCGGGAGCCCCTTCTAACTGAGCCTCAAGGAAGGGCTCACAAATTTAGCTTTTCTTGTTCCTTCACCGCGCAGGTTCAATCCCCTGATTTAGTCGTTAAGCGGGCGCTGTTTTAGGTTCTGAGAATTCAGCAGTGAACAAAGTAAACAAAGGTGCCTTTTCGTTTACTCGTCATGGAGGTTATATTCTGGTGGGGAGAGGCAACAATAAATAAGGAAATACATGGTATGATCAACGGTGATGAGTGTCAAGCAGAAAAGCAGGAGAGGAGAAGGGGAGCTCTAGGGCGGTTTCCGTTTTTAATGGAGGGGTGAGGAAAGGTCTCACTAAGAAGGTGACCTTTGAGACAAGGAAGCAAGAGGCATGTTGAGGATATCATTCCAGGCAGCGGGAACAGTAGGAACAAAGGCCCTGAGTCCTGAGCCTGGCGCCCTGTCATTTAAGGATCAGCAAGGAGGTTAGGCTGTGGCCGGAACAATGAGCTGAAGGGAGAGTGGAAAATGTGGTTGGGCAAAATATGTTTTACGGCTTTGACTTGGAGAAACTGGGGAAGTCATTGGAAGACTTACAGGATCTGACTTATGTTTAACAGCTGAGTCTGGCTGTTTGGGGAGTCTGGCTGCTAGGGGGCAAAAGTAGAAGTTGGGAGACAAGTCAGGAGACTCCCTATGTAACACAAACGAGTTCTAATGGGAGCTTGAACCCGGTAAAAGCGGCGGAGACAGTGGTCAGTAGACAGAATCTGGAAATACAGATTCTGAAGATAGAGCCATAAGGCTATTTTGAAGGACAAGAAGTAGGCAGTAAGAGAAAGAAAGGAGTCTAGGATGACTTCAAGGTTTTCGCCCTGGGCCACTGGAAGGGTGAGGCCATCCCTGACTGGGTGGGGGCAGACTGAGGGGGTGGAGCAGTTTGGGAGTCGAGAGTTGAGAGGAGGAATCACAAATTTGATTTTGAACGTATTTACGCTCATGATATCTAGAGGACAGCCAGATAGGATGAGAAGGCAACTGGATCTAGGAATCAGATTCAGGACTAGGAGCTGTACAATTGGGAGTTATCTCTGTTGAGATGGTATTTAAGGAGACTAGATGAGATCACCAAGGGAGGGGCTCTATCCACTCACTCCTTATTCACTCGTCAACCCGTGGATTTCAGAAAGTCATTAACCTCTATACCAGGCAGTGTGCCCACAACTGGGAAATGAAGGATGAACAGGACGGAGTCCCCGCCTTCGAGAGGCCCCATCCAGCGGCTCGGCCAGCCTCGTTATTTTATCACGGCTCTAGGCAAATGCCCTTCGCCACTCGCATCACCTGTGCCGCTTACCAGGCTTGGCTCTGTGTGACCACAGACTCTTTCCAGAAAACCTTACCCATCTTCAGAGCCCCGAGAGGTGTCCTTTGAACGGCTGATCATAAGCCTTTTATTTTCTAGCCCTGATTTTAAATGTTGAAACATGAGAAAGGGGCAGCACTGAATGTCCAACTAAATAGGAGTTTGTGTATTGAACTAAAAGAGCTCCGTGACACCAGGGATTTTGGTCTTCCTGTTCACTGCTAGAGACCCAGGGCCCGGAGCCGTGCTGAGCTCCCGGGGTGCAACCGATGAGCATTTGTGGAATGGATGAGTGACTTGGTAAGATTTTTGTGTATATGCAAAGTATTTTAAATAGAGGACATATTGGCATCTGAGACTTTGGACATGTGGTTATACAGGAATGAGTCAGATTTGCCAGCTATTCCTTAACAGAAAATTGAGTGTTAGGAGCCAAGTCCGCCTCCTTGGGGGAGAGGTGTCCTTGGCCTGTAGGACTCAGAGGGGTGTCGGGGCAGAGGCTTTCAAATGCATTTCTCACAGCTCCACCCAGAGGCCGCCCGGGGCCTGTCAGATCGAGCGGCAGCCTCTTGGTGAAGGGAACTGGCCGTGGCCAAAGGGCTCAGTGAGTGAACCGTGTGCCTGGCTGCAGGTCAGAGCGAACAGGGTGGGAGTGGAGGATATTTCTGGAAAGCGGTTCAGCTGCGTACAGGTGGTGTGAGGCAACCCCAAGAAGAGAAAACAGAGAAGTAAAATTAGAACAGAGATAATACGCCTCTAAAGGGGCTGAGAGCCTCTGGGCCAAGATTTGATTTAACACCAAAGCCTGGTTGAAGGTATTAACATACCTAAAGAAAGACTGTGTGAATCAGAAAGAGATTTATGTACCCTCCAGCCTAACAACAGGAGGACCTAACGAGAGCGAGGACCCCCTCCCCCACCCTGTCATGCCCAAGCGCTTCCGAAGTGGCGGGTGCAGCACTCACTGCTACACAATTTTGCCAGTGACTCTAGGCCAAGAAATTTGAAAATTTTGAAGAGCTAGATAAATTCCTAGGAAAACACAAGTTATCAAAAAGTGTGTAAGAAGAAATAGAACCTCTGAATAATCCTGTCTCTACTTAAGGAATCAACTCTATAAATAAAAACCATCTCACAAAGAAAACTCCAGTCTGAAATGGCATAAAGTTGGTAAATTCTACTAAAGTCCATTTTCTCTCAAAAACATAGATGCAAAAGTTTCAAACAAAATATCAGCAAATTGAATGCAACTCCTTTGTTGCATTCAACAATATATAAATAGGATAATAAATTGAAACCAAGTTGGGTTTACTCTAGGAATACAAAGTTGATTTAACATTAAACAGCAACAACAAATCAAATCTAGATAGTGTGGCAGGTACAAAGATAGACCAAAAGATCAATGGTACTGAAGACAAAATCCAGAAATTGACCTATAAATAAATACATATAAGGTAAACTGTTTGCAACAAAGGTTCGACAAAAATTCATTGGGGAAAAGGATTGTTTTACAATAAATGATTCTGGGTATTCATAGGAAAAAAATTATCAACCTTTATTTCACACCATACACAAAACCTACATATGATAGGTAAAGCCACAAAGTTTCTAGGAAAAAAATAGGTAAATATCTTTGTGACTCAGGATAGGATAAATTTCCTAAAAATGTCATAAAGAAGCACTGTCTGTGGAATAAGATTGTTACTTTGGACTTCATTAAAGTGAAGACCTTTCTAAAGTTCATCAAAAAACATTGTCCAGTGTGGCTCATTTGGTTGGAGTGTTATCCCATAAAACGAAGGGTCAAGGGTTCAATTCCTGGTCAGGGCACAGGCCTGGGGTACGGGTGTGTTCCCCCCGGCCGGGGTGTGCACAGGTGGCAACTGATGGATGTTTCCCTCCCTCTCTCTCCCTCTCTCCCTTCCTTCCCCTCTGTCTGAAATCAGTGAGCATGTCCTCAGATGAGGATTAAACACACACACACACACACACACACACACACACACTGTTAAGGTAAACTAAAAACTGGGAGAAGATACTCACAATACACATAAACAACAAAAGACATATTCATAAGAAATAAAGAATCTCCACCATTCCCTGTTGAACCTGCGCTGTGCGGCTTTCACTCCCAACCCTGAAGCCATTCTCGTCCAGGTCACGGGGGACCCCATGTCCACACCCAGCCGGTCCCCAGCCTCCATGCAGCTGCCTTTCTCGGGAGCGCCGCCCTGCTGGAAGGGCGAACGTGGGCGGAGAGAGGACGGCGGGAGGAGGGGCCGAGGTCGGCAGCGCGCTCGCCGTGTGCACCGTTCCCACTGAGCTGCGCTTCCAATTCGGGGACCCAGTTGTTAAACGCTCCCCCCCGCGCCCCCCCCGCCACGCCTTCCGGCCAAGGGCACTAACAACGCTGGTTTCCTTAGCACAGAGAGAGCTAAGGCACAGCGAGCATCGTCCGAGCCAAGCGCTGTCCTAAACGCGGTAACTCACTTGAGTAGTGCGATCATCATCGGCCCCATTGACAGGCAAGGAAACCGACCCAAAGGACCGCCTTTGGAAGCCGCTGCAGCCGCCAAGCCGGGGTTTCAGAACCGAGCAGCCTGGCCGAGCAGGCACAGCGGCACAGCGGTGGCTCCCCGCCGTGACCGCCTCAGGAGGGGCCGGGCTCGGCCTCGTTCACGGTGGCGCGTCCCAGAGGCTGCTGTGACTGGGCCTGGAGGGCGATGGCCGCGTAAGCCCCTCCACGGCTGTAGGAAGCAGAGGGCATTTGCACAGGATTGCTCCTAATTCAGGCTAAGAGACAATTCATCACTCAAAACAATATTGTTACCAGGAGGAGTTCTCTATTTTGACTCTACCAGTGGCAACTGATTTGATGAGGAAGTTATTGGGAGAGTTGGTTGTGTTTCCTTCTGTCAAATCATAGCTCCAAAAGGCACGCTATTTCATTAGTGAGAACGTATCCATCGAAAGATCACTCTAGTAATTTCTGAAAACCAACAAACGACTTAGAAATGATTAGGCTGGCTTGATGAGTGCTCTTAGTGACAGCTCGCATCATTTTATAAGCAGTTTTATGCTGTAGATAAATAGATACACTTAGGTTTATTTGGAAAATAGAAGAGAATATATTTTAAATTTATTTACATCTAAATTTCAAATGCCCCTTCTGAGGCCATGGTTAGGCACTTCAATTTATTAATAATTCTAAGTGTGTTGAGAGGT